AAATAGTGGGGCTGACCACCCAGGGGGCTGAGGGGCGGGGCCAAAAGGGGGCAATTTAGCTATATTTCTATAAACGACTACTTCTGTAGAACTATGCAACGGATATCAATCACATTTGGTCAAAAGCATTCATGGGATGCGGGGATTCAAAATTGTACAAATGGTGGGGCTGGGGGATGGGGCCAAAAACGGTTCTGGAACTAAGAGATGGATATCAACCAAATTTAAGCGGAAGCATCCCTAGGAAGTGGATATTCGAAATTGTACAAATGTTGGTGCGGGGCCAAAATGAGCAATTCGGCTATGTTGCTATAAACGACTTCTTCTGTAGAACTATGCACTGAATATCAGTCATATTTGGTCGGAAGCATTCATGGGAGGTGGGTATTCAAAACTGTACAAATGGAAATGGTGGGGCTGACCCCTTGGGCTAAGGGATGGGGCCAAAAAAAGTGTATTACTTGGAAATGGTCGAGATCTCCACCGTATAACCATATATACAATTGCTGAGTATGAAGAGAAGAATGCACATATGCTTGCAGGATGGCCCTGGAGTCTGGCCCCACCCTTGGGGACATAGTCCGTTGTTCATAACTTTGAAACGGTTGAGATCCCGACCCTATAACCATATATATAACTTTATATACAAATGCTGGGCATAAAGAGATCAATGCAGTCATGATATTAGAATAGACCCTGGGGTCTGACCAAACTCTTAAGGACCTAGTTTCTGAGTCACAGCTTGGAAACAGTTGAGATACCCACCCTATAACCATATATACAATTGCTGAGTATAAAGAGATGAATGCACATACGCTTCCAGGATGGCCCCGGAGTCTGCCCTACCCTTGGAGACTTAACCCCTGGGTCATAACTTCGAAAGGGTTAAGATCCTCACCCCAAAACTATATATACAATTGTTGGGCATAAAGACACGAATGCAGTCTTGATATTAGAATCGACTCCAAGGTCTGCCCCACCCTTGCAGACTCTCCCTTGGTCATAACTTTGAAACGGTTGAGATCCCCACTCGAAAACTATTTATACAAATGCTGGCCATAGAGAGACGAAAACAGACATGATATTATAACTGATCCTGGGGTCTTGCCAAAACCCTAGGGACCTAGTTTCTGAGTCACAGCTTTGAAACAGTTGAGATCCCCACCCAATACATGTAACCATACATAAAATTGCAGGGCATAAATAATCTAATACAGATATGCTACAAGGATTGGCCTTTTGGTCTTGCCTATTTCCTTGGATCTGATTTGGAGAATATTTTGCCATGATTGCCTAGATATACAAGGGAGCGATACAGGCCCTCTGGGCCTTTTGTTAAATTATATGTATTACTATAGCTACAACATTTGCTATTAGGTGTGATGTTCATGTATGCTAGGTAAAAATCGGTATTCAAGTAATGTATGTCCGGTGAGACTTAACTGTCTATGGGTTCCTTACCAATAGGTCCCTGCAGGTAGGGCGTAATAAAAGTACCTGCTGCCCCCATTGCATGATCGTAAGAAGCGACTTAATTTCGGATCTTATCTCTTCTCTTATTTTTGTGTAATTTAGGAGTGGGACGACTGGTTTGCCAGTTGTCAGTATAATGTGACCGGGTGGGGTGTCCTTCTGGGTGTCTTCGGCAGTGTGTTTCAGTGAGATAGCAATATAAAGTATATCACATCGTGTTGAATGTATTGTGCTGTGAAAGTACAGGAAAGGATATACGGGGGACAGGGTACAAGGTATTTGGTACAGGGTACGGGGTACAGGGCACAGGGTACGGGGTACAGGGTAAAGCGTCGACTATACCAAATCATTGAATAGTTCTAGACTTTGTTGTGTATTGTAGAAAATCATTTTGTTTGTCTGCATAGTGAAATACCCTCACAATTCGGGTATTATCAATCAATTCTTAAATAAATTCGATTTGTGAGCTCACTTATTCTTTTTTCATAAACCAGAAATAATGTTATCCACTGTGCATTGATACAAAATACGTACAACAGCTCGAACAAAGATATATTTGAACTGTAATTACAATTGACATCGTAAAGTTATTACATCTCTGTAAAATATCTGAACACGTGTATTGTGGAACTTACTTTTTAAAAAGATATGTGTATCGAGATACACAACGTATTGAATGTATTGTGCTGTGAAAGTACAGGGAACGAGATACAGGGTACGGGATACGGGGTACAGAGTACGGATACAGGGCACAGGGCAAAGCGTCGACTGAAACGATTCATTGAATCGTTAAAGACTTTGTTGTGTATTGTAGCAAACCATTTTGTTTGTCTACATAGTGAAACACCCTCACAATTCGGGTATTATCAATCAATTCTTAAATAAATTCGATTTGTGAGTTCACTTATTCTTTTTCATAAACCAGAAATAATGTTATCCACTGTGCATTGATACAAAATACGTACAACAGCTCGAACAAAGGTATATTTGAACTGTAATTACTATTGACATCGTAAAGTTATTACATCTCTGTAAAATATCTGAACACGTGTATTGTGGAACTTATTTTTTAAAAAGATATGTGTATCGAGATATACATCGTATTGAATGTATTGTGCTGTGAAAGTACAGGGAACGAGATACAGGGTACAGGGTACGGGATACGGGTCACAGGGTACGGGGTACAGGGTACGGGGTTCAGGGTACAGGGTACGGGGTACGGGGTACAGGGTACATGGTACAGGGTACGGGGTTCAGGGTACAGGGTACGGGGTACATGGTACGGGGTTCAGGGTACGGGGTACAGGGTACATGGTACGGGGTACAGGGTACATGGTACGGGGTTCAGGGTACAGGGTACAGGGTACATGGTACGGGGTACAGGGTACATGGTACAGGGTACAGGGTACATGGTACGGGGTACAGGGTTCATGGTACAGGGTACATGGTACGGGGTACAGGGTACATGGTACGGGGTTCAGGGTACAGGGTACATGGTACAGGGTACATGGTACGGGGTACAGGGTACGGGGTACGGGGTACAGGGTACAGGGTACAGGGTACAGGGTACGGGGTACGGGGTACGGGGTACATGGTACAGGGTACATGGTACGGGGTACAGGGTACGGGGTACGGGGTACAGGGTACAGGGTACAGGGTACAGGGTACGGGGTACGGGGTACGGGGTACATGGTACAGGGTACATGGTACGGGGTACAGGGTACGGGGTACGGGGTACAGGGTACAGGGTACATGGTACGGGGTACAGGGTACATGGTACGGGGTACAGGGTACAGGGTACGGGGTACGGGGTACGGGGTACAGGGTACATGGTACAGGGCAAAGCGTCGACTATACCAATTCATTGAATTGTTCAAGACTTTGTTATGTATTGTAGCAAATCATTTTGTTTGTCTACAAAGGGAAATTCCCTCAAAATTCGGGAATTATCAATCAATTCTTAAATAAATTCCATTTGTGAGTTCACGTATTCTTCTTTTTATACACCAGAAATAATGTTATCCACTGTGCAGTGATATAAAATACGTACAACAGCTCGAACAAAAATATATTGTAACTGTAATTACTATTGACATCGTAAATTTATTACATCTCTATAAAATATCTGAACACGTGTATTGTGGAACTTACTTTTAAAACAGATATGTGTATCGAGATACACATCGTATTGAATGTATTGTGCTGTGGAAGTACATGGAACGAGATACGGGGTACAGGGTACAGGGTATGGGGTACAGGGTACAGGGTACAGGGAACGGGGTACAGAGTACGGTTACGGGGTACAGGGTACAGGGTATGGGGTACAGGGTACAGGGTACAGGGTACGGGGTACAGAGTACGGTTACAGGGTATGGGGTACAGAGCACGGTTACAGGGTATGGGGTACAGAGTACGGTTACAGGGTATGGGGTACAGAGTACGGTTACAGGGTATGGGGTACAGAGTACGGTTACAGGGTATGGGGTACAGAGTACGGTTACAGGGTATGGGGTACAGAGTACGGTTACAGGGTATGGGGTACAGAGTACGGTTACAGGGTATGGGGTACAGAGTACGGTTACAGGGTATGGGGTACAGAGTACGGTTACAGGGTATGGGGTACAGAGTACGGTTACAGGGTATGGGGTACAGAGTACGGTTACAGGGTATGGGGTACAGAGTACGGTTACAGGGTATGGGGTACAGAGTACGGTTACAGGGTATGGGGTACAGAGTACGGTTACAGGGTATGGGGAACAGGGTACAGGGTACGGGGTACAGAGTACGGTTACAGGGTACAGGGTATAGCGTCGACTGAAACAATTCATTGAATCGTTCAATACTTTGTTGTGTATTGTCGCAAGCCATGTCTACATAGGGAAATACCCTCACAATTCGGGTATTATCAATCCATTCTTAAATAAGGGTACAGGGTACTAGAGTCAGGTACATTTAAGTTTGGTTGACGTTTCGTTTTTGCATTGGAATTTTTCGATCTTTTGTTTGCCCTAAAGACCTATCCTGTGTTGATGGGCCGTTAAGCATTTAATAAAAATAATAATAATCAAACAAATACGCGAGATTTTATAATGTACCCTCTAAGAAACGATTTCTCGATATCGTTTCTGTTTAATCAATCTATGATTATTTACATTCAATTAATCTCTATAATTAGATACGATACATTTTATAAACAATTCGTTTACTAATGATATATTTTGACATCTTTACACATTTGAACCTTTTGTTTCTTGTATTTATGTATTCAGCTTTTTGTGAATGTCTATTGATTAAAATTGTCGATGGGCCGTTAAACATAGTAGATACAAACGCTTTTGTCCGGTTGGGTGCTTGTATCGGGTTTCACGTCCTTTCAGATGATGTCGTCAGAAGTGTTGTGATATCAACATTAATAAATTACACGATTTAAATGATTGCGTAGTTGCGTGTTATTTATATTTTGAAATAATAAAAACTCATTATACGTAAAAGCAATTTTGCTGTTTAAATTGCATCAATGTTGAGATCCGCACCGCACTTGTTTTTAGATAGCTAAGCTATTCATATCATGAAATGCTCAGCCCAGAGATATTTCAAACGGAAAATCGGAGCGCCGGAAAGATGAAACGACTCATCAGGCTCAGGTAAGAAAAGAACTCTCGCATGTTTCTATTTCTATTTAACACTCCTAGATTCATTAAATGTTGTTATTTCTTTACATACAAAAGGTTAACGATTGAAAACAAAAACAAATGATTTTTTAACACGGGTTGTTTTGGTTTGGTTTAATTTCATTTTGATTAATGTCCTATTAACAGCTAAGGTCATACGGAGGAACCCTAAATTAAAGTATCAATTTATTAATACAGATCATATTTAACATCAAATTACACGTGATACAGAATGCATCGACCAGCAGCCAACTCGGTGACATTTTCATAACAACGTTACATGTTTTATGTTCAATTTAACTTTCTGAAAGCTGTTGGTCTTATGAATCAATATCAAGTTGACGTTTGTTTTCTACATGTCTTAATCTCTTAACAAATTTATGTTATCTGAAAGCTGTTTGTCTTTTTTTTAAAACATGAGTCACCAAAGCTGTTAGTCTTTTTAAAAACATGAGTCACCAAAGCCACTTTAAATATTCAAGTTGACGTTTGCCTTTTATGTTTTTAATTTGTTTGTTCTTTTTCCTCATTTGGTTTTGTCGACCATTTGTTGGCGTTTGTGACCTATTCTGTGTTGATGGGCCATTAAGCACTTAGTAATGATAATAAGAACGTTTGTTTGATGTTATTTTTATTTTAAACAGTAAAAATACAAGATACATGGTATATATCTTTCATTAACCATACATCGCCTGAGTTGCCTTGATTTATAGGGTGTTGCGAACTAAAAACAGCTATGCTCATTGTAAGACGTGCTTCTCTGTGTGAACCCGACGCAGAATGTTGGTGTATTTGCCTCATTGCGATAGCCAAGATTTAATGCCAGATTGAGTATTACCCACAGAAATACCATGCCTTAACACATAGCACGGTATTTCATCCGATCACATAATACTGACAACGGGAAACCGATGTCTTACCACTACACATTTAGTTTTGCTTATATTGTTAAGCGTACTTGTACTTTCGACGATTAGGTCATTTAAGGACGTCCTTCCGTGTATGTCATATTGGTGTACTGCATCCTTCTGGTAGCGGTGACCTGATACTGGCTGCAAAGGCTGTTTCACTAAAATGTCATGACAAAGGCACCAAGCAGAGCATTTCAGCTTTCACAGTATACTGGCAACGGGCAAGCCATTCGTAACTGCTACCCATTTAAATTCAGGATCAGCCTGTAATTTACCGCTTAAGGATGCGCCTCCGTTTGTGTAATATATGCGCGTGTTATAGGACGAAAGTCCTATAACACGCGCAAATGAGATTGCACCTTCAAAATTGGGTAATAAATACAATCTGAAAAAAAAAAAAAAAAAAAAAAAAAAAAATACAATTATTAATCTGTTTCATCCTTGTAAGTCTCATAGGTGATGCTAGGTGCCAAAATATTAGAAATCGAATTTGTCTGAACTACTGTTGAAACAGGAGCAGTTGTGCAAAACCCTTCAGTTTTTTAATTTAAATATTTAGAAGAGTGCTGGTTAATTTGAAATTAGGAAATCTTAATAATGTATATATTATGAACCGTGCCAATACTCAATAAATATGGTCATCTAGGACTCAACAAACCTCGGTTACTATAAACTCCGCAAGCATTTTACCGCCTTGTATCTTGATTGGTTTGGTTTTATTATGTTTTGTTGGTGAACACGTACAAGGCCCTGATTTTAACAGCTAAGGTCATTTAAGGACGTGCCTCCATGTATGTAGTGTATGCGTGCTTGCGTGTGTGTATGCAGGAGGCAGGGTATGCTCGTGTGCACACAGGAGCCTATTACTCTGTATCAGCTGTCAAGCTCACTATGGTCGGAGACAGAATCATTGGTGTGTGTCCCAAGTTCTCGTACTGTGACCTATGAAAACTGGTGCGTCAAGTGCGGTATGCACATGCATACATACTTACGTGTGGGAGGAAGAGCTCGAGTGTGATCCTTGCATAGTAACTACATTACTACTATAGTATTGCTTAATAAGGTTGTCAACTAGCGATTAACTGTCACTGCATGTCGGGGATCTAGAAAAGAATGCATCTGCTGTTACCCGCTGCAAGTATCGTAAGAGGCGACTAAGGTGGGAACCCATCTGCCGAATTGGGGATTTGCTTTTGTGCCAGACTTGGGGACACAAAACCGATCAAAATAATTCTGCAGCACCCACTGCAACATTTGGGATCTTTTTCTTTCTTCTACTTCTTACCACCTTTTATTTCATTACGCCTTGCTTGGCAATACCTCTCTTCTGGCTTTAATGTTGAACGTTCACCCAGGTGAAGAGGTCAATGGGTTCTATCGCCAGGCCGGGACATAACAAAGTCCTTAAAAATGGTAGTTGTTTTTCCATGCTTAACGTTCAGAATGGAGAGTAAAGGCAACAACGGGTTCAACCGTTGTCAGTATAATTGGCGGAATGCTGTTCCGGGTGCCTTCGGCAGGGTGTTTCAATGAGAAAGCACTATTACAAGGAGGCAATTACACCAACATACCATGTCTCCTGCACACAAACATGTACAAATTTGCACGCTTACACAACACACATGAAGACTGTTTCCTAAATGACCTAAGCTGTTAATAGGACGTTAAACAAAATAAAACCAAAACTAGCCCTGACAATAGCTGTTGGAGAACAACATAGCTCTCCTATTGGTGATATATGTTTTTATAAGACAGCAAATATCAATAGAAACACATGTACAGATAAAATGCCTGTCATTTCATTTGCCACCTCGCCTACAATAATTTGAGCTCCCTAATTGTTTTTTTAATAATTTCCCTCAATTTATAGCCAAATCCCTTTATAATGCCAAAATTTGTTTCAACAAATGTTGGCAATATAATGAGGTTTTGCTGTATTTTGACATGTTGTACATTTCGAAAGAAGAGAGGGTCCCAGAAAACATGAAATAGTTAAAACCGTTTTGATGGTGGAGGTCCAACACTGTACATAAAAACTTTCCCAAAACCTAAATCAAATTGATATGTTTTTAACCCCTACAGTATGAAATTATTGATCAGCACGTTGATTAACTGAACATAGATACTTTAACCTTATAACAATCATCAGCATAATGAAGGTGGTGATCAAACACTGCACATATGAACTTGCCCAAAATCTTTAACCCAAATCTTGCCAAAAATCTTTAGCTAAGTGCAATTGAGCTGTTGTTTGGCCCCTAAAATATGGTTCTACAAATTACTTACACTCCGTTATAATGCCTTAACCTTCAAATAGACAGTAGACAACAGAGTGGGATGAATCAACACTGCCTTAGAAAATATTACCAAAAACCTCAGTTAAGTGGGACTCCGACGCCGGCGTGATTCTATTAACCCCCGCCCCCCAGGATGACTTCGGTCGTGAATGCGACCCCGTGTTTATTTACGCCAATTTATTGAGGTCACACTTTTGTGATCGCGTTATTGGTTTCCGTGTAATATCTGCACTAAAAAAATGGTCGATTTCAATGACATTTAATATGTTTGTATGCACATATAAACAGGCTGGAAACCGCGTTCAACCGTGAATGTGATCCATGCACATTCAAGTACAATACATGACGTTACAAACATTTAATTGGCTAATTCGTTTACGTACAACAAATACCGTAATAATAACCGGTCGCTTTTGATGAAATTCGTTATGCACATACATATTGACAGGTCTCAGACTGAGTACGATCATAAATATGATTCGTGCATAGGTGGGGTCAACATTTGGCCCCCACTTTGATTTCTTTTATTCTTTTGCCATATGTAGATACATAAAAATGATCAATTACTGCGGACATCATTATTCATAATTACTACTGATAACCGTAGTGGACCTCCTTGCATACAAATGTAACACCAGTTTGAGTGACGGGGTTTCTTAACCAAATAACAGATAAATGTCACAAGCAAATATTGTTTTGAAAATGACTTATGATAGTGTACAGTGTATAAAGTTACTATGCTTTTGATACTAAATATGTCATATTGCTATACATGAAGTAAACGTAGTGATACTTTTAATTAGAAAATAATTATATATATATAGTTATAATGGTAGTCTATATTAATATTTTAAACTTCTTTAAAACAGACGATTTTTAGGTCACCTGAGTGACCTTTTATAATCGCCTTTTGTCCGTCGTCGTCCGTCGTGCGTCCATTAACAATTTACATTTTCAACTTCTCCTCTAACATCCCTGAACAAATTTCAATGAAATTTCGCAGAAACCTTTCATGACCAAAGGTCAGCCAAAAATGTGAATTATATGGTCCCCAGCCTCCAGTGACCTGAGTGGCGGGGCCAAAAAGGGTCAAATTGACTAATATTTCAAGAATCTTTTTCTCAAGACCCAGATATGGTAGAATCAAACACTCTGCATAGATTGAAGGGTTTTAATGTGCTCTACCACAATTGTGAATTTCATGACCCTGGGGTCACACGTTTCCCCCTGGGGAGGGGGTAAACTTTACTATAGTTTATACAGGGAAAACACATTTTGGACCAGCATTTGTTTAATTTCCATTGAAATTAATTAAAACTTAGTTAGCATTATCAGTATGGAATAGCAGTGTGATGTTATGAACAAATCAGCATTGACTGACCCCCAGGGGCTGATAGGCTGAGAGGGGGGGGGGGGGCAATATTTATTATGACATGTTGATAACTTGATTGGAATTATAACCCTGCATTGACAGTTTGATACTTTGGAAATTTTGAGCCAGCCCTACCCCCAATGGCTGTAAGTCGGGCCCTAAGGAGTCAGTGTCCTAAAAATTCTTCATTTTCCTTGTTTAGAATCAGAGGTCCTAGTTTCAAATACTTTCCAGTCTTCAATCTGTATGATAGATATTGAATAAGGTGGTTTATTGATTTTGTCACTTTGAATAATATTTCTGTTCATGTTTTAAAAACAAAAATCAACTCTCTGTATAAATTCATCAGAACTCAGGTGACCATTAATGCCCATCGGCCTCTTGTTATGTAATATCAAAACCGGTAAAGTAATTTTTTAGCTTGCCAAAAATGATCAATGCCCAATTTAACATAATCATACAGATTTGATTACAATGTTTATTACTGGGAAATACCGATACATTTTCTGTTTTTGTGTAATACCAAAACACTTTATTATGTTATGCATGTTTTAAAGTTATGCGCAGCATTAATAATGGGTAAGTATTCTGCCAAGTAATCTTTCCTCCGGAGAACTACTTACTGGAATCAGCTTGCCTGTCCGTAGAAACAAATGTCAGGACAACTTCTTCTACAGTAATGGACTAATTTCAACGAAAGTTTCCAGATATGATAACTACCACCTGATGTTGTACATGCAGGTACTAGCACTATTTCATTCTGACCTTCTTTTTTTACAAAGTTACGGCCCTTTGTTGAAAAGTCCTTGTCTGGACATGTCCTCCAAAACGAAGGAGCCGATTTCAACGAAAGTTTTCAGATATAATAACTCCCACCTGATGTTGTGCATGCAGATACTAGCATTATTTCATTCTGACCTTCTTTTTTTTGCAAAGTTACGGCCCTTTGTTGAAAAGTCCTTGTCTGGACATGTCCTCCAAAACGAAGGTGTCAATTTCAGCGAAAGTTTTCAGATATAATAACTACCACCTGATGTTGTGCATGCAGGTACTAGCATTATTTCATTCTGACCTTCTTTTTTTTACAAAGTTACGGCCCTTTGTTGAAAAGTCCTTGTCTGGACATGTCCTCCAAAACGAAGGTGTCGATTTCAGCGAAAGTTTTCAGATATGATAACTACCAACTGATGTTGTGCAGAAAGGTATATTTTTTTCAATCTGACCCTTTTTTACAGAGAAATGGCCCTTTTATTGAAAAATGCTTGTGCAGACAACTTCTCCAAAACTAAGGGGCCAATTTCATCGGAAGTTTACAGATATGGTAACTGCCCCTGATATTGTGCATCCAAGTAGTATGTTTTCATTTCGACCCTTTAAAAAAGAGTTACGGAGTTGAAAACAACCTGTCTGTCTCATGAACTACTAAGACGATTTCAATGCAAGTTTACAGATATGGTAATTACCCCCTAATGTCGTGCATCAGGGTAGTATATTTTCATTTCGACCCTTTTTAAGGAGTTATGACCTTTTGTTAAAATCTTTATCTTGACAACTCTTATCATTTTATATCGTTAACTCTAAACAAATAAAGCAAGGAAACATATCGTTGTCTGACTCCCCAAAGAAAATATTTATTTTAGCACATATGATTTTTGTGACCTTGAACGAAGATAGGCCTTTATCCAAGCATGCTACTGACTAAATATAAACATTCTGGACCCGTGTTTATTCAGAAGAAGTTAATTAAAGATTTTAACATATTTGACCCCTGTTACCTTGGTAGCCGTTCAATCCATCTTGTTACGGGCCAAAAAACATCCTACGACTTTTTGTTATTCATAAGTCATTTAAAAGATTTTGAACATATTTAACCCCTGTGACGTTATATATAAGTCAAGGTCATTCATTTAAACAAACTTGGTAGCCCTTCATCTTAGTCTGCTACTGACTAAACACAACATCCAGGGCATTTTGGTTATTGAGAAGAAGTTGTTTTATGATTTTAACATATTTGACCCCTGTGACCTTGAATATTAGTGAAGGTCATTCATTTGAACAAACTTGGTAGCCCTTTATCCTAGCATGCTACCGGCCTAATATTAACATCCTGGGCTTTTTGGTTATAAAGCAGAAGTCGTTTAAAGTTTTGAACATATTTTATCTCTGTAACCTTCAATAAACGTAAAGGTCGTTCATTTGAACCAACCTGGTAGCCCTTCATCCAAGTTTGCCTCTGGCCAAATATCATCACCCTAGGCCTTTTGGTTATTAAGAAGAAATTGTTTAAAGTGGAATATTGACGACGGACGCCACACCATGGCAAACGCTCACTTTTCCAATCAAGCTTAAGATGCATCTCCATATGTGTGTCTTATGTTCATCCTCTAAGACAAAAATTTCGCATGTAGAAAGTTTTGCGTCTACCGAACCTGCCAGTTGCAAGTTTTATTTTCAAAGTTTTGCATTTGTTTAAACTGATTAACTCTACGCGAAAGAAGCAAAACGTTCCACAACGCAATAACTTTCATTTTATATTGCATGACCGAACGATATAGATTATACATGTATATTTTCTAAGCAACTGTGATTTCTCATCTTTTTATGCTCTGTTAATTGCCGAACCGTAAAGTGGTATAATTATAATGAGTACTAGCGTTGTTCATAAATCCAATAGTCTTACATATGTATGTTTCAGTATCACCTTTGTGCTGCTGTTGATATCTAGCGTACACTTGAGTATCATAAACCACGTCCATTTTGATGACGACACAAGGAGAGTGGCGTACCACACAGCTGCACCGTACGGTACTCTCCAGTGCGGGAAGATGTGTGCGTTGGAGGGACGATGCATCGCCATCAATTACCACAAGGGCGCTCGCACCTGTGAGCTTGTAGAACAAGCTGCTACTGTTGTATTGGATTCCGCGGGATGGGTATCCACATCAGATATAACATTTGTCAATGTAAGTAGCACTTCCGGTTTTCTTCTTTATCATTTGGCTTGTAACATAGTTTCAAAATATGTTTTCTGTAGTCCACTTGAGGTCTACCTGCGAATAACATCTTCGTTTCAACCAAGCCCTGTCAATTAGATTGACACACAAATGTATGAGATAAGAAAATTGGTGAGTCGTTTTCAACTAGTTGGTACTTTATCATAAATACATGTATAACAATAATTCTTATATGTTGTATGTATATGTTGATGGAGAAATGCTAGCATACTTAACGTTTGTTATATTTTATAGGGAATTTAATATTGATTCATAGGGAAATTAATATTATATTTTGTAGGGAAAACTTGGATCCTGTTCAAATGTTAGCATTCCTGAACTCAACGAATGCGTTCCTTTAAGAAACGGGGGACAAACCAGCATGATAAAATGTAAGTATGGGGGACAAACCAATAGACATTTCCCTTTTTGGAGGTAGACCTAGCACGGATCGCAGACACGGACATTGGAGGCTAGCAAACTTGGGGAACCTTGCAAAATTGTTTTTCATTGCGACTTTTTAAAGATCCGTAATTTTAAATATTAGATAATTCAACTGGTTTGAATGATGCCATGATGCCATGATGCTGCGTCCGTCGTCAACTTTTTACTTTAAACAATTGCTTCTCAGTAACAAAATGGCCTAGGGGAATGATATTTTGCAAGTAGCATGCTGGGATAAAGAGCTACCAAGTTTGTATAAATGACTGACCTTCATCTATTTTCATGGTCACAGGGGTCAAATATGTTAAAATCTTTTAACGACCTCTTCTGAATAATCAAGAGGCCTAGGGTGATGATATTTGGCCAGTAACATGCTTGGATGAAGGGCTACCATGTATGTTCAAATGAATGACCTTAACTTATATTCAAGGTCACAGGTGTCTTATTTGTTTAAAACCTTTAAAACAACTTCTGGTGAACAACAAAGAGGCCAAAGGTGATGATATGTTGCTAGTAACATGCTGGGAGGAAGGGCTACCAAGTTTGTTTAAATGAATGACCTTGACTTATAGTCAAGGCCACAGGGGTCAAACATGTTTTAAACCTTAAACTCAAAGGTAAAAGACAATGTCAATTTGAATATTGAAAGCGCCTTTCTCTCTGTAGCTGGGATGCCATTCACCGATATCGAGTTTAATATAATGAAATTTGTTATCTACGCATTGATTGCAATTATTTTGCCACTGTGGTCTTATAAATGTTGTTATGAGTGGTTTAAAAGAAGTAAAATGAAGTTAAAAATCAACAGATGGATGTAATAGTGCTGTGTTCGCGATATTATCTGCCTTTTTATAACTTGGTAGTCCCACATGTCCGAGGTTACAAAAGCATAAATCTGGGGGATTCCCAAATTGGCCGTCTTTTAGGATACATGCAGTGGGTAACAACAGGTTTATTATTTTCTCGATCCCCGACCTGCAGGGATGGTTTTCGTTGGGAGATACATATTTTCAGCGTCTTCTCTATTTTAGGGGTTTTAGTAGACCCTTCAAACTGTTGGTACTAACATGTTTACATATGTTTGTTATTAGACTGCCCAGCAACACCATCTGTGCCTTCATGTTACACAACGTCTACTTCAAGAAGTGTTCGTGATGCTGTCACATACAAGTGCAATCCAGATTTCAACTGTACGGAAAATCTGAATGGTATCTGCCTTCCGAATGGTCAATGGTCCTCATCTAGCTCTATTGCGCAGTGCTTTCAGGGTAATAAAATTGTGTTTCATTTTTAGGTGTTTTTTCTCAAGTTGGCATGAAAGATTAAGTAAAACCTTAAAAGCAATTTACTGAAAACGTTATATCACTGGTTGACTGAAGCAAATGTCTTTTTATCTAGATGGATCTTGCTATCCGTTGACGCCGCATTCCTAAACTGTAGCAAACCAAATATCCTGTGACCAGTAGTCATGTAGTATTAAGATTTAGTTGTTTTCAATGCTATTTCTTCACTATTTTGAAATTGCGCGAATTTTGATTTGGTAATTGAAATGTGCCATTTCGATACGTGTTTCATATATGGACACTTTTGTAACATATCTTTACTTTTATGTTCTGAGGGAAAATGCACAATTTACCTATCTGGATGAAATAATTAATATTACAATCGTAACCAAATGAACGAGTAGAGAAGATTTTTCGAGGGTTCAAAAACTGAAGAAAAAAAATATATACAGAGGTAAATAACTCAGCTGTTTTCAATGCACTCTATGGTATTAATTTGTGATTGATATCCTTATTTTGATTAGACAGTGTAAGATTAGACAGCGGTACCAACCAAACCGAGGGTCGAGTCGAAATTTACCGCGATGGTGTCTGGGGTAAGGTCATTGGTGCCAGCTGGTACGCCAATGACGCTGCAGTTGCCTGCAGACAACTCGGATATAGGTATGTTTGTACTTCTAGTGGATTTTTATGACGGAAACCAAAATTGATCTGCTGCTTCAGGACTTGCGAAACTGAATCAGCCAATCAGCACGTGTTTCATACCATTGTAATCTCTATCTAAAATTTACATATATTTGCAATGCAGTATTTCCAATGTGTAATGGTTGACAGGTATATATCTAGGTATTTCACTTTGGAAACAATTGATAGCTTAAATAGCTTAAAATATATGATTACAGATCTATAATGAGGTAACAAGAAGCCAAGATGACATGTATCGCTCACCTGAATATTTCAGTAATCATGCCAAATTCTCAATGAAAGTTGTATGGCAATTAAATAAGATCTTAGGGTTATTATTAGTCCCCATGGCCAATCCTACCAGCATATGTGAATCCAAATATTCATGCTCATCAACTGTAATTATGTTAATAGGGTAGGAATCTCAATGGTTTTCACGTTATGGCCCAAGGACTAAGTCCATATGGGTGTGACCAGACCCCAGGTTCAATTCGAATATTTTGACTGCATTCGTGTCCTTAAAGGGTGAGGATCTCCACAGTTTCAAAGTTATGACCAAGGAACAAGTCACTAGGGGTGTGGCCGGACCCCAGAATCCATTCTTATACCATAATGTGTATCTGTCGATCTGTGCCGAGTAATTGTATAAGTATATGGCCATGGTGTTGGGATTACAACAGTTTAAAGGGCATGACAAAGCGAGTTACGTCTCTATTGCTTGGACAAGACATAGGGGCAACTCTGGTAGAATTTGTGTATATGTCTCCTTATACTCAGCAATTGTATATAGGGTAATAGCGTGGGGAAATCATTTCCTAGTCAAAAATAACTGTTCGGCCCTGCCCCTCCCCTCATCCCTCCCCCNATGCATCAAACTAAAAACCATCGCTATCGATCCCTCAGTTCCTGAAAAAAATGAACCCTTCATTTGTACCGTTTTGAATCCCCACCACATTTGAATGCTTTTTACCAAATGTTTGATATTTATTCCTTTGTTTCAGAGAAGAAGACGTTTCAATCAATCTGGCCAGATTACCCTTTATGGCCCCGCCCCGCCCCACAGCTCAGACCCCCCTCCCTACAAACACACATTTTTTGGTACAGTGCTCAGTCGCTTTCAATATAGCCAAATTACCCATCTGGACCCTTCCCTCATCCCCTTCAAAATCGGGATCTTTGTCTTTCTTTCTACTTCTTACAACCTTTTATTTCCTAGCTCACTTTTGGCTTTAATGTCGAGCGTTGGGCCTAGTGAGGAAGACAATGAGTTCTGTTCCCAAGCTGGGACATACCTAATGTCCTTAAAATGGAAAATGTTATCCCTGTTTAACGTTCAGCATTCGGCATGGTTTTTCAGTGAGAAAGCACTATAAAGTCGGCATCAGATCTGCGATATCACAAGGCGGCAAGTACACCAACATATACTGCCTCCTGCACACACACACACACATAACACACACGGAGGCGCGTCCTTATATGACCTTTGCTGTTGAACGGACGTTAAAAATTAAAACTAAAACCGAACTCTTAGCTCCTCAATTGGTATAATTCTTAACCCCGATCACCTGAAAAGGCTTCGATCCAAATACGAGTTAAGTCATTTATAGCAGCCAAGCGAGGGGTTAGTCCTCCAACTTCTAGACTTTTTATTCCCCGCCACCTAAGAATACTTTCAACACATTCACGCATACAAAACACACACGGAGGCACGTCCTGCAATAACCTGTGTAGATTCGGGGAAGAATAGGCCCGCTGTATGTCACTGATTGGTCGTCAGAGGCGATGATTAATGTGTGTCCCCTTCAGAATCGAGGGTTTTCTTCCGTGTCCACCCACCACCCCCTCTACAATCAACCAATCAAGTATATCTTTTAGTTTCAGAGAAGAAGTCACTTAAATCAATATGGCCAAACTACCTCTTTTAAACCACCGAAGAAAGTGGTTAGTTAATTACCCCCTTTACCACCCCCACCCACCCAGCTCTACGGGAAGGGGGATCAGTCCCTTCATTAGTACAATTTTGAATCCCCAGTACCCAAGAATGCTTCTAGGCAAATATGGTTGGTATCCATCTTTTAGTTTCAGAGAATTAGTCTATTAAAGGAATATTGCAAAATTACGACCTTTCCCCTTTAGGGGTCAGCCCCTCAATCTATTTGAATCACCACCACCTAAGAATTCTTTTTGTCAAGAATGTTTAAAATGTGTATTTTCGTTTCAGAGGAGAAATCAAACTACCCTCTTTTGACCCCGACAATTATAACTTGTGGAGTCAGCCTCGCCTTTTGTACATTTTTAAATCTTCGTCGTCTAAGAATGCTTCAAACCTAATATGGTTGATTTCTATCTCTTAAATTCAGAGAAAATTTCACTTAAAGCAACATGGCTAAATTAACAACTTTTGGTCCTGCCCCTCAGCCCTTCAATTTGTACAATTTTGAATCCCTAGTGATGCTTCCACTCAAATGTAGTTCTATTCAAATCAGTGGTTATGGAGAAATTATGGCATCACCTCACCTTAAAATAGTCAAAGGGTCTTCATGTCATGCCAGGAACACATGACTTTGCCTCACATATTGATCGAGTGTGCCGATTTTAGACGGATTCGAGAGCAATATTGTGACGTGCCTAATATGGAAACGTTGTTCCACTCAATAAATAATAGATTTTCGAATATCTGCGTGCAATTGGATTATACCATAAAATTTGAAATTTTTACATTCTTCGTATAGTGATATTTGGCCATTTTCGCTGTGTATTTATGTGTACAGTTTTTAAACTTTTACTGTTCAGTTTCTTTTTCGTGTTTTTTTATTACTGTAATTGTCCCCTTTTATTATTATTATTGCATTATATTTGTGTTGTCACATTAATAAATATGTAATAACGTTCCTTGTTCCATGTAGAAGTATGTTTAGTATATATATATAATGAATTTTACCATTCAATGGCTTCTTGATTCAGTGGTGGTAACGCTACTCTCAAATTAAAGTCCGACTTTGGGAAGCTTTGGTCGAAATCGGGGGAATGCGTTGGAAATGAACTGAAAATAGCTGACTGTCCGATTGATTGGTTTCCAATCCTTCAAAATTGGCGTCCTTTCAACGCCGGAGTAAATTGTACAGGTAAGGGAGATAACCCTTTAAAATAGTTGTAGAATTGTTTATTAAAATTACAACATGCAGCATAATACCGTTTCGCGCGTGCTTTATGTCATGAATATTACTAATGCGATTGTGAAAACATCAATATCATTAATTAATCAATTAAGATGACACAACTTCAACAAACATGTTAATAGCAGGAGCTAGTAAAAGTATCGACCCGTTATAGAACATAAAATTGGTTGTCATTTCTTTGACCAAATCGATGCGAATTATGCGGCAATATATTTCAAATATTCAATTATTTCAGACATCGGCCGTAACCAAATGCATACCTTTCATTTGTCTTTGTTACTGTCTTTTAAAATGTGGTTATTTTTCTTACTCGTGCCTAAAAGCTAGCCAAAGGCGATATTTTTTATCAAAATTGATCTGCTCAACAATTTACAACACTTCGTATCTATATTTTTGGCGGTATCTACTTGTCCGTTCATCTTTATATGATCTTTGCAATTGCGAGGACTAAAGCTCCAAACAAACTGCTACATTGTACTATACCCAGACAGTGGTCCTCTTAATAAACGACTTGTTCAAATATATGTCATAGCTAAACTAACGCAAACGGAATATGTTCGTGGTATTATTTAAGTTTCATAATTGACAATTTGCAAAATCTTGAGTATAATAAAAGTCATTTTACAAAAACAAAAACAACAAAGATCATAAGGACCTTTATCAAAATAGAAAATGATCAAAACGAACTTACATACACAAGGGGAAAACTATAATAAAATTTACAAAATAGATTGATCTAATATAAAAATGAATTATTTTTGCATATTTCGAAACACTTATGCAAACTTTCTTATAGAAGAGCAGTAGTTGTAATTCACCATAGAAGTATCTAACTCTTTAGATAAATTCGATGTCTATTTGCAGATTTAGGAACACGTGTGTAAATCTAGGTGAGTGGTAAGGTATTTGTCAATTTTGTAAAATCTAGTTATTTCGTATATAATAAAATTGACTCGTATGACGTATTAAAGTTGTTCTGTTGGTGTTTCCGTTCTGGTTATGAAACTGATATTGCTGATGACAGTGTTTATCTAGTATTCCTATACATAATTTTGTTTCATTTTTATTTCAGGAAATTGAAGAAGACAGCATGTCAGACACTAGTTCTTTTGTCGCCGGATTCAAGTGTTTGACATCTACTTATGAAAACTATTGTCCAGTACATTTAACTCAGAATTGGCAAATCACTCCCTAACTATTCAAAGCGGCTCCTGTCCGATATTGGGATATAGCACGGTCTGTCTTGAAATGTATCAAGCTAGTAAGATAACAAAGCAAACTCGCGTATACAGTTATACATGCAACATGAATATATGTGATTAACAACTAAAAACGTTTTAAAACAGAAGCAATTAGAGGCAATTAGAATTGCATTTAAATGTTGTTCTGTATATTTATCTATATTAAGTTTACCTTGGTTTTACAATAATAGCGAGTAGCTTTCGCCTTCCTTCTACTAAATGACTTACAGGTTGCTTCGCAAAGGCGTTGAACTTATCTTAAAATATAATATGGCAAATACTACGAACAATGAGGTGCAATAACCACTAGATGTCCGAGGAAATGAAAAACGTATTCCAAACGTTTGTTTGTCCATGTTGAAAGCTAGCAAAGTAAACATTTTACTGCATCATATCGCAATTTCGTCCATTTAACAAGGATTCATCAGACGCATCATACTGAGTTAACAGTTCTGAAATAAGTTTTAACATAGAGCTCTAACTGTGATTCGATTTAGCCCGCGGAAGGACGGCCTCATAGCAATTAATACATCACTATCTTATTAAGTACGTTCCCCTTTTTGCACGAGAAAGTTAGCGAGAGGTTCGTTTAAAAGTTCTTGTAGTTCAAGGAGGATAGCCCCTATATGATGTACAACTATGGTCAACATTTTGAAATAGCTTAGTAGTATATATAGTTTGATGAAAATCTTGCAGTAGATTAATAAAGTTGCAAAAGTCATTGACTGTACCCTGTGTTATATGTTTCCCTTTTTCCTGTGTGGGTGTGCTTGAGTGATTGTTGGTGTGTGCGTGTGTGTGTGTGTGTGTGGGGGGGTTCGTAGACAGTTATAGATGAAGAAGACGGTAATGAAAAGTTGACATAGTGGAGGTATTGTACAAGAGGTCCTAACACAGGAATTGGAAGGTGCGACTGACATATTGAGTTTGATGTCTGCATGAGCTCCAGCTACATCAGTTACGGGAATCAAACATCCATGAAATGCAATACTGTTAATATCGATTATGGATAAATGGATTATATTAATTTTAACAATACAAACGTTGGGATTAAATTTGTAGGGAAAGCAGTAACTACTAAACGAATGACAGACTTCGTGACTACCTCCAATACAAACAAAGCCGATTTGGAAGAAAGATCAACCTGAAATGGTTCAGAACCGGGCCAGACGTATTGGGGAGGGACTTAGCCAATCGTCAATGAGGCGTTTTATTTGGTCCAGGCTTACCACCAAGTGAGTGATCCGAACACGGTCTCTTCATCACAAGCACAACAGAGCAACATATGTAAATAGATTAAACAGATGTTTGTATGAATGTGGTTTAACGTCCTCGCACAAGCTAAGGTCATAAGCAACATGAGAGTGGGTGTCTAGAAAGATACCACAGACAGGACAGGAAGAAAGATGTTGATACGGGAGCCCAATATCAATTTAAGTCTCTGCAATGTCGCACAACATCTTCTTCATGTTGGTATGTATGGATTATGAAAAGTTCTTTTCGCACAACCAATACGAGTTTCTATGTGACGTTTCGATGACTAGTACGGTATGTACACTGTCACCTTCATCAGACAAATGACCAGTGAAGCGTATGCACACAAAGGTGTAAAGTGTGAACGAGTTGTCCACAAAATTTATGTCGATTCGGCTACGCTGTAAGCGTATATATATACATGTACATTAAGCTGGATCAGCTTACATCGATGTCGACACTGCATGAAATAGTTGTTATATATGTACCGAAATGACTCGATTCAGCTACGCTTTGTTTAATACTTAGTCATAGATGTGCGAGAGTCAACATTTGGGTACACTTACATAAAATACATATTCAGTTCACACTTTCCTTTTGTTTTATAAAGAGTTATGGCTACTGGACACATCTCAAACTAGGCAATTTACCTCTACCCTTGTGGTACCCAAAAAAACACTTGGTCAAAGTTTTGCCTTAATTTTTGCGCATGTGATACAAAAGGACATCTATGAAAAAATTCAGGAGGTGAAATTCCTGTTATACCGGGGTCCAAAAAAAGGCCTTGTATGTTTACAAAAATTAAAACACTTTCTTTGCCCATGCACATTTAGGTAGAAGTTCACCGACAGCTGCCGCTAAAACGTATCGCTATTCCATGAGGATGTCTTCATTGTTGATAAAGAACGCCAAGAAAGCACTGTCTGCCTTGTCAATTTCTCGACAGAAATTGTCCATAAGCAGTACCTATAACTATGTTATCAAGAAGGATTTTGTGACAACATTAAAAAATACTTCAATTTAAATGTAAAACAAACCAATGAAATCATGGAGTTCTCGATTGAACATTGTTATCCGGAATGCAGTAGGGCTCTGTCCTTGTGCCTTGTCTATCTTACACATTGCTTCCAATGATATTTTGGATGGTAATTCCTCTACTATAAAGTCGACATCAGTTCAGCGCTATCACAAGCAGACAAACACGAACATATCGCAGCCTCCCAAAACACACACTCATTCACTACCACGCATGCATCTTGCTCCCAGGGGAGGCCGTCCTTAAATGACCATAGCTGTTGATAGAACGTTAAACAATACCAAACCAAACCAAACCTCTCCTTGATGTATTCGTCTTAGCGTCCTATTATTTCCGGCTGAGGTCATTTAAGGATGTACCCCGTGTGTGTAATGTATGAGTGTATGCTGGAGGCGGTACTATTAATTGGTGTTTTGCCTCCTTCCGATGGCATCAAGTAGATCTGAAGCCGACTTCATAGTGCTACCTCACTGAAATATACTATGCCTGAGGGCAACCAGCACCTTGTCCCATCCGGTTACATTATAATGACAACGAAAACATTATTTGTGTTGTTGGACAGTTTTTTCGACGATTGAACATATTTCTAAAGTTTACATAGGCAATTTAAAAGAAGAAGAAGTAAAAAAACCTGGAACAAATTCTTTAGCTATTCACTTACAAAACATCACTGTATGTTTGCTTTATAGTATAAAGACAGAATACTTAGCTAGATCAGAACAAGTAGGTAGCGTTTTGGCAACATATATAGCTGATGAAAGATAATTGCCCAATCAAAAATTGAGGGGGTACCCGTTGCTAAATTGACGGTTGTCATTTTTTTCTGTCACGATCGATATAAATATCCGCCCCCCCCCCCCTCCTTACCTTTTTTTATGTTAAGAAATGTTTTTAAATAAACTCAAGTATAAATGTTTAATTAATATCACCTGTTTCTTTCTAATACCATTTCTTTCTTATACCATATCTTCCCTTTTTTGGGAGAGGAGGACAATTAAATGTCAAATAATAGGAGAAGGAAAAAACAGGACGTTCAAAATCATCTCATCTTGCATGAATAAAAGATAATTTTGTTTATATTGAAGACTATTAATAATTTTAAGCATCGTAAAAATCAAAAAATCCTTACATGGTCCGTTAAATACGAATGAAATTTAATTAATGGGCCTGTCGTGACCATTTAAATATGAGTAAGTGAACCGCATATGCACCTACTAAAATCTATAGACAAAGTAATTACAACTTTTTTTATTTACATTCAATCTGAGAAAGAACAATTATGGGTTTTGTTGACTTGCGGAACACAAAATATTAACCGATCTTTAATGAGCGCTCGTATTGGCCTTTCTTTTTTTTATGAGGTTTGTAGGGGTGGGGCATGATTTTATTCATGTTTCTATTGAAGCTGTTCAGTGTGCTATACTTTGTTGATTTTTTTGTATACTTTTTGTTCATTCTGCGTATTCTTCATATTTTCCAACATGTCGACTTAAATTTAACACATTGTATGCATCCAATCAGGGATGTGTAGTGCAACTACACATCCCTGATCCAATGCATCTGTTTTGTTGTTGTCGGTATCCACCTCTCGTGTTGCGTTTATACCTCTGAGCCTCGTTTTAAAACCGAAACCGGTTTGATATAATTATTTCCTCATCGTTAGCCTGACCGTCCTGAAACCGTAAAAGTTTATATGAATGTAAATGAAAGGAAAATGACACCACTACGTCCGTGTATAGCCTACTTTGTGTGACGCACGGACGACTCCTGTCTAACTAATGCCAACCGATCAAACCGTTTGGAACGTGATGAACAAAAGCAGTCAGTACCAGGGACAGTTGCATCTTAAAACATATATTCATCCTATTTTCATTAATAATTTGCAATTTGAAAAACATTCTATATTATAAATATATCTTCAGTAATAATTAAATTTGATATCGATACTCATTTATGAAATTGTATCCTTCCCTTATATATTGCGTTTCACTTTAAATTGTTGTTGAATCCGAAATATACATAAACCTTGTGTAATCGTAATATTGCTGAATGTACATAACTTGGGTTAGACACTCAAGTTGCTAGGACTAGCAATGCCGCGAAAAAGGAAAGGTGATAAATGGTTTATTCTACATGACATGTTTGCATAAATATCAGATTTTAAGTGTGATTAATGACAATGTCGGGACATCTATCCAGCTTCACTGAAAATATGCTAACTGGCGGTTTCCCGCCCTCGTTCACTCCCTTTAGATCTATCAGTATCAATGTTTGTTGTTCAATACTCACTGAGAATGTGTTTTTTGCTATTTATTTTGTTTTAGCATTAAATGTGTAGGCAGTATTTTAGCATTGGATATTATTTCAAGTATCGCTGGTAGGCCTCATAATGACATATATAAAGTCAGCAAAGAAATATCTTTGATTTTTTTTTTTTATAACGTTTTTAATAACTGTACTTATGACATGCATTGTTTAAAATAATCCAATAAAATGTTGAAAAGATTTAGATGCAGGAAATAACACGTGCTGATTGCTCAAAGGGAGGTTACTCGTAATTTGGGCAGGTTTCAAACCAGATTCAATTATTGTGAAAATATATAATGTTGGTGAGGAGTTGATGTTGGAGACACCACAACTAGACTCTTGACTTCACTTCATGACTTTCTTTTGTATCTCGTTATCTTGACATATTGATTTTGTCATATCTTGATCATCAAGTGTGCTTCAAGAAAAATATGTAACTGTGTGTTTGCACATTTAACGTCACGCTACCAGACAATTGGTACAATTTTGACAGTTTTTTAGTGATCTTTAAAAATTCAGATCTTGTATCTGGAATGTTTCTTGATTCTTGACAAAGACTACCTATGGTGGTTCATTTTCAGGAAAAGATTTATATTTAAATAATTTATTTTTGAAAATAGAACGCTAAACTCAGAGTGAGATTTCGTCTGTTTTTCGGCCGTAAATAGTACTCAAATTGGTACACCATATCACAGGCTATGGAAATTGTTTTTATTTCTACAAGTTGATGTGCCAATTACAACAAAATATATTGCTTTTATAGATACCATACTGAACTATAATTGTATATATTCACTTTTATATTATCCGAATATAAGGACCAGAAATCAACATTTAAACATGCTTATATTTAACCCCTTGAAAATCCTCCAAAATTTCGTTGACTTACGTCATTTTTACTGGTTTTCTGATATGTTTACTTTGAAGTCATCGTGAACTCTTAAAATGTTCCTGAAAACAAAACTATTCGGCAGAAATGCTGATAAATATCTATTTTGTTATACTGTCAAAGGAAAATGCTCAAATTTAATTTTAAAGTACTATTCGAACAATTTTTTGACCATGTACCAATTTGGGTAGTGTGGTAGCATGACGTTAGAAAAAAAAATCATTAGAACTATCTAGAGATCTGTAGCAGAGAATTCCAATTATCCAGATAATCACAAATCATTAACTGGTATACACCAGATTAAATATAGAATTATATGCCAGCCTCATCAGGCTATTTATTTTTAAACTGATTTTTTGACCAGTAATACATGTAGGTCACTCAGGATGTCTCCGATGAGATCTGATCTTAAAAACATTAAAAACACTTCTTAAATTGTTCTCTAGGTGGCATAGGACTAGTAGTTAGCGCCTGATAAGGCAGCACTTGCGAATTCCTCAATTTTTTTATTGATTAATGTATATGCTAATTGTATATCCTATGTACTGTAAAGCACTTCAGAGTTGTTCATGTTAGCTAGATAAGGCGCTATATCAAATGTTGTATATTTATTTTATTTTTATTTATTTAAAAAAATCAACAATTAGTTTAGAAATGCAAACAGTTAGTCTGTAGTTAGTCTGTTTGTTTCTGCAATATGTAAAAGGTTATGATGATTAACCTAGCCTGGCAGGTAGCTGAAACATTCACTTACTACATATATATATATATGTTTGTATTTAACCTCAATAAACTAAACTGGAATCTTTACAGGGCTTTCAGTTGACTTGACATACATAGCAAAATCTAATGTCAAATATAGTTTTCCCTAAATTTTGGAGTAAAAAATACATCAAATATATGTCCTTTAAAACTCCAGAGTCAAAGCTCAGCTTGGGAGTCGAAACGAAATTTCTAGGGTCTACTCATGATCATGTTATAATTATCTAGATGTTGGTGAGCAACTCCATCTTTTCTGTTTGTGTTTACTTTTCTTGATGAAGTTCCGGTGAGTCTATATGTTGCGTATATCCATCGTGGATTCCTACTGCAATTCACATAAAGAGTTAAAACCCACTTCAGCCATGATGTCTAGATCTGATCTCCCTTTCTTGGTTTGGGGAACTGATTTTGCTATATATACTGTATATCATGATAATTCCTACCTTATGTCAACTTTTCAAGTATAGCAATGCAAGATACTTAAATTATTAAATGCTTTATTTGATAATCTTTCACATCTTGTCTTTTATAAATTAGTCAATGCTGAAGCTGCTGGTGGTGATGCCAGTTCATCCAAGAAACCTTGCCATGACGGTTCAGGGGAGACAACAATTGATTCGTGCAGTGTTCGCTGGGAGTGGGAAGGGGACAAAAATGTGTGGACTCAGTATGCAAGCAATCTAAATGAATCTATCTGCAAGGCTGTGGCTAATGGTTTGAATGAGGTGAGAATATCAATGTTACCAATTCAAATATGGTTTTGTAATTATGCTAATTTATCTGTATTGCAATAATGCTACTGTGAAAATATGTATATTTCTCAGAGAAATCAGTTTTGTCCCAATGAAATATGTGTTTTACTGTAGTTCTGTATCAGAGAATGTGTTAAATCAAGTCAGTCTGTATGTGTATTGAGCCAAGAACATGTACATTTGTATTGTAAAACCTTTTGAATTGTTTCTAGTGAAGCAAGGATGCATCTTGGGTTATTTTTCACTGAATATATATTTCAATCCTTGATATATATATAATTGTAAATTTAGAAAGAGAGACTTTTTAGTAAGCACAAGAAAATGCAACCATTTTTGATGTTAATGTTATGTACTAGTACTGTCTCAGGCAAAGATCTGTGGTACATCGTTATGTATGTAAGCAATGCTTTTCCTTTCAAAATATGTTTATTTTCAGTTGATATATATGTTATAAAAAAATTATGTTAATTGTAGAACAAGATTGGATTTTAATTATAGAACAAGTATAACTATAATAGTACTGTTATGATGTCCACTTTGTCGTTCTCTCCTACACTGAAGCTTGCATATAAATACCAGTATGTTTTTAAGCATGAAGTTTCTGCTGATTAATATTTTGATTACAACTAAATATCTTTTCCTACTAGAACTCCTTTCATAATTTTGATATTTTCTCTGTTATTGCCATACTTGTTTTTACTTCAGTTTGTATTCATCATCAAATTGATTTTAATCATTTTAAGCTCACCAGGCCCAAAGGGCCGTCGTCCGTCCGTCCGTCGTCAACATTTTACTTTAAACAACTTCTTCTCAGTAACCAAAGGCCTAGGGTGATGATATTTGGCCAGAAGCATGCTGGGATGAAGGGCTACCAAGTTTGTTCAAATAAATGACCTTGACTTATATTCAAGGTCACAGGGGTCAAATATGTTTAAAACCTTTAAACAACTTCTTCTGAATAACCAAAATGCCCACTGGGGTGATGATATTTGGCCAGTAGCATGCTGGGATGAAGGGTTACCAAGTTTGTTGAAATGAATGACCTTGACCTACTTTCAATGTCACAGGTGCCAAATGTCTTAAAATCTTCAAACAACTTCTTCTCAATAACCAAGAGGCCCAGGGTACTGATATTTGGCCTGTAGAAATCAGGGCTACCAAATTTGTTCAAATGAATGACCTTGACCCACTTTCAACCTAATGTCATTGTTTGACATTCAAGGTCACACTTATATTCTGCCTGTAGCTGTATTTTAGTCCACTTTTAAGATTACAAGTGTGAGATTAATACCAGGTGAGCGATGCAGGACCATTGGGCCTCTTGTTTTATTTTAGGTTGATTTTGATGTTGGAAAGACGTCCTTGGCTGTGAAAATAGATCAAATGGCCCAGAAAAACAAGAAAACTGGATGGCAGAGACGATTACGATGCTGCGTACAAGAAGATGGAGGTGATGGTTCATTGTTGTGCTCTGTCTGGCTACCTCTATACTCAACTTTAAAGCCTGCAAATTCAGTTAATTCTTCTTTCTCAATTTTACTCTATTTTTTTCCCTATTTGTGGGAAAGGAATAACATTCTGTAAAAAAAATAATACTTTTAGTATTTATAAATATTGAGAAATCTAGCATGTGGAAATGAAAAATTGAAGGCTCTGAAAGTAAAGAACAGGTCTGTCAATATCCATTATCGTATATATATATTGTCTTCAAGGGGTTTATTAAGAGACCATTTTTGTGAAGAGTCCCCATTAGAGCCTTCCCTTGGGTATGTGGTATCTTAATAAAGATTTGACTGTATAGGACTGTATAGGATTCTCTCTGGCAATATACGACCTGTTCCTCTTTGAATTTGTAAGTTTAAATACCTGGAATTTATAGAGTTTCTACGTTGTCTTTGATGTGGTATGATAGGGCGGGGTACCTCACTTTGATTTTGAAGGATCTTGTTCTTTCTCATTTTGTAGGATTCTATGTCTGGCAGTGGGAGGATGAACAAGGGAAGTGGAACCCATACAGTTACGATATTGCAGTTAAATTGGAAAAGGCTCGGCAGCTCAAGGAGACAGAAGTAGATGTATCAGCTTGTGCACGATCGTACAGGGTGGACCTCTCGAAAATGCATCAAACTAACCTTGTTACAGATGTGGTGAGAAATGTGGCCAGGATCAAGTCAGGTAAACACACTAACCTTGTTACATATGTGGTGAGAAATGTGGCCAGGACCAAGTCAGGTAAACAAACTAACCTTGTTAAAGATGTGGTGAGAAATATGGCCAGGATCAAGTCAGGTAAACAAACTAACCTTGTTAAAGATGTGGTGAGAAATGTGGCCAGGATCAAGTCAGGTAAAAAATACTCAGGCATTCCAGGTTAATGTCATGTCAGTCCAATGTTGTAATTCAAAGACATTAAGACAATCGCTTACTTTACAAATAAATGGCAAATATTTGGACAAATCAAATTTGTTAGCTATATATTTCTCAAGAACTTCGGAAGGAATTTTCATGAAACTCTCCTTATCTTTGGCCATGTTCAGCATGTGGGTCCCAGATGTGCATTCCACATTATGAGCTTGATCGGATATTCAAGATATCTAAATAAGGTGCATCAATTTCATACATCAGTTGTATCTTGTGTACAGATGACTCATTGTGAAAATTAAGAACTGAAGAACTATTGCAACACTGCTTTATTTTTCTGTTGTATATTTGGCAACAATAAGCAACTTTTAAATTTAAGAGAATAATGATCCATATTCAAAGGAGCAGAAAGAATATAGATTGCTTTAAATGACATTTATACCATACAATTTTCCCCTCCTCAGCAATTAATTTACCTGTGTTAGAGCCAAGGAAGTATGTACAGTATACTGAAGGGATCTTTATCAAATTGCGTGTAAAGGTTCCCTAGTTATGCATATTGTATTATTGAACTTAGCACAATATGGCCGACAGTAGGCCATCTTAGATCCTTTTTTTTTAAAATTAAGTTTGTTAATACTCTTTCTCAGATACTATTGGATGTAGTACATATACATGTAATATCTTAATCAGATTTCACATGTAGCTGCCCCATGATCCTTAGTTGAAGGAAAGTGAGTTCATTGATAAAATTCAAAGTTTCATTTGCATTTGTAAGTCTTGTCAAAGAGTCTTGAATAGTCACCTTGTAGATAAGGGAAAATAACACTATACAATAGAAGTAGAACTCTTACAATGATGGGTGCCAAGATTCCTCTGGCATCTCTTGTTCTGAAAATTTTATGGTGAAAAAATTGCTATTAAAGTGCATAATTATTTTCATGTAAAATTTTGATAAATCATGTTCAGAATTTCTGTATTTACTTGATTGGTGATCTCTCTAGACGCAGAGGAATCTACAGGAGAAACACCAGTAGTATCCAGTTCTAATGGTGATGTCACGGCAACAAAATCAGGCAAGGGTAAGGTTAAGGTGGAACCAGTGGACAACAGTGCAACAAAATCTGGTAGAGGAGCAGCAAAAAGTGGAGGAAAAGCTTCAAAATCTGGCAGGTCTGAGGAAGGCGAATCAAAGGGTGAGTATAAGGCAAAACTACAGAAGTGAAGGTGTTGGACATCAAAGTCACATAGCCTAATTCCGTCTTTGCGTATTTCAGAGTTATCTTCTCTTGGGAGCAGGGATTGATTGTTACGTCATTTGTTTGTGAGAGTAACGTCATCAATTTTTGAGAAATCGACGTAATTTTCTCACACAAACCAATGACGTAACAATCAATACCTGCTCCCAAGAGAAGATTACTCTGCAATACGCAAAGATGGAATAGCTAAACTGGTAACGTGATTGCATGAAAAGAATAAAATTCTAGCCAGGAAAGAAAATGAATCTCCTCATAGATTTCATGTTAACCAACCTGAACATAATCAAATTGAAGAAGTTTGGATAGGGGGAACCCTGAGAGCATTAAAAGGTGAACAATTAGTTATGTATACTTGTGTGTTATGTGAGTCAGGAGGGTCTCTATCCAGAGAAGAACATTCAGAGAAGATATGTTTACCAATAAAAATAGGGAAGCTATCAGTATTGGTGTTTAAGATATTCATGAAAACTGTGTGTTCCCTTGGCAACTTGGTGTATTGTAGGAAATTGATTAACAGTTGTTTGAATTTGACTATTGTGTAGTGAGAACCGTGATCGTCAAGAAAGGATCAGCACCTGTAGATCTAGAATGTACCCTAGCTGAAAAAGCTGAGGTTTTCTCCGAGGGCAAGGATGTTTGGGACTGTATGCTCAATCAGGTAATTTTGTGTTGATTGATGAAGGAGACAGTTGTATCAATTATTTATGCTTTTATTTTATAATTTATTATTATTTTCCTTTTTCTAAAAATTACTAAGAGTCAAACTAATGACTACAGTAAAAAAGTCATGTGGAAGTGCTCTAGTGATACAGTTGCTAACAAGCGAGCAGATGGTTCATCCCTGTGACAGTTCTGTACACCTTTATAAATATTTAAATAAATGACATACATCAATATTTGTAGATCCAGGGAGAAATGAAATTTTGGTCATAAGTCAGAACAGAAATATAGCTTACAAAATTTAGTGTATGCACTTTATATGCAATGTAATCTACTGAATCTATAAGCTCATTAATACACATTCAGTGTTAAGATCCAGGAACTAAGTCACCTGGGCAAATTTTGATAGCATGATTGTGTTTATCTCTTCATGTTTGGCGATTGTACATTTGGTTATATGGCGGAGATCTCTACCATTTCTATGTTAATTAATCTCCAGGAGCAGAGATTGATCCCTTGCCAATCATTGTAGCATGAGTGCATATGTCTCTTTTAATATACCCGTGAGAAATATTTATAAATATGGTTATTTCTGGTTTCATTTAAGAAAGAATTTTGAAAAAAGTTGTAAGATTCTTACTGAAAGATTGCTATCAATACAGGAAAAACTTCGGGGAAAATCAAGGTTAAAATTAACTATTAAACAAAATCAGGATAATGGAACAAATCAGTTTTGCTGTAATTCCAGACAAGTGTGGGCAATAACAACAACAAGTACTACCTCATCCAACTACTGACTGAAGGCAAAGGAAAATTTCACGTTTGGCAGCGCTGGGGTCGAGTCGGCTATAATGGCCAGAACAACCTAGTACCATGTGGAGCTGATCTTGACAAGGCCAAGAAGATTTTTGCAAAAAAGTAGGTTCACTGTTAATGTATGTGCATTGTGCTATTGGAATTTACAGGGTTTGACAGTCCTCGGATGTTTAAAAGGTTTTCAATTAAAGTAATTATACAATATGTAAAGCAATATAATCCTATCATTAAAACAATGCTGCACTTTTAAAAGATATTTCATGAAGTCCACATATTAACAAAGTGTATAGTTTTTACAACTAAACCTGCAGGAGAGTTGTTCCTTGTCTCAAAAGGTACACACTGGAATTGAAACATTTTGAGATTTTACCACTGAAAACTGGAAAAAAATGAAAGTACTTAAGGGAAAAATTTCTTTTCAGGTTTACAGACAAGACAAGAAATAATTGGGCTGAGAGAGATAATTTCGAGAAAGTTCCAGGAAAATATGACCTCCTTAAGATGGACTATGGGGCAGAGGTTTGATACCAAAAAAAATCTTATTTATTTCACATTACATATACATTTGTATTTGTCATTTTATTTTTGCATATTGATATTTATTTCTGGGAATGCAAGCTATTTTTTTCTTGTTTCAAAACTTTCCTATATGTTTTCATTTGGAAAACATAAATGCATTTCAAAATTAGAAATGATCAATTAAATACAAAAAAGATTAAAGGTGCTTTGTGGAAACAAAAAGGCATTTATCTAATCTTTATAAGTTTATCTTGTTTTAAGTTGGCATACATATTGGAATATAAAAGCATATTAATGTAACTTACTGCATTAGTGGGGGGAAAATAGCCATCTTCCTGGAATCAGGCCATGGTGTTCCTAGTTCATGTGATCTTGAAGAGAATTTGTTGAAGGAAAATATGTAAATAAAAGTCCTCATGAGAAAACGTTTAATATAAAATTGACTTTAAATTGAATACAAAAATGGTACAGTAGATATATTTTGATTTCCCTTTTCACAAAAACATTTCCATTATGGGGGTTTGAGCTGCAGACCTCTGTTATAAAGTAATAGCAATTATGATATCGGTTAAGTAAATACTTTTCTGCAATATCACTGGGTAACCATTCAAAATAACATTGTAACATTTAATTGTCTTTTTGTGAATATGTGTTTAAATAAAATTTAAAAAACCAGGAAAATAACTTTGCAGTGCCTGTATGTAATAGAAACAAGGTGGGATACCAAAAAGTTTTCCTCTTTATCATGGTCCATCTAAAGTGGTCCTCATTAAACATCTTCAACTATTTGTTGATTATTCCAGGGTGGAATGGACGAAATGGACGCCGGACCTTCAGGTAGTGTCGACAGCGATGTTAAATGTCCCCCTTCCAAACTGGACCAGAGACTGCAGGTGAGGCTGAATTTAGAATTTTACGTCCCAAAGACAGTGAATGTTTTACTGACATTAGGTGAGTGGGAATAGATGGTTGGACATACTTGTTTTAAATGTGGATAAATCAGTGTTTTGAAGCAAAACATAGTGACAGATATCACAGGTTGTCAGCCAATACAGGAGTCAGTAAAGTCAGACTCCACTGGATGTCTTATTGGTTACGCATTCTACAAGACTTACCCTATATTTGCATAGTAAATTTTAAAAACTTTCACTTGCCCAACTTTAAATTAACTAGCCCAGGGCTTTGCACTTATGGAATGCGTACACAGTAATGTTTATTGGAGATGACGAACGAAGTTTTGCCTCTTCCGACATTTTTTGTTCTCACCTATTTCACCCATGAACAGGAAGGTCGAATTAACACAGAGCAAGAATTCTGAAGGTAACCAATCTGAACCAGGTCTTTATCTTCCAAAATATTTGCCACGTTTATGTAGGGTCCGATAAAATAGAGTCAGTAATGTTTAGGAGAAATGTGTTAAATGTATATGTGTGTGTAAGTTAATATGCATATAGACAGAAAAGAAAAGAGACATTCAATTTAACTGCTTAATTTTTTTGCAGTAAGTTGCAATGAAAGTCAACAGATTACTGGGTATATTTTACGTCTGTAAAAAATATTTTTGCAGGGATAACAGACTGAGAAAAACCGAAAGGACAGATCAAACAGAGTATATATTAACAAAAGCTCAAAATAAAGGGATATTGGTATATAACAGGGTCTGGATAAGGCAGAGTTGAAATATTATAATCTTGAATATAGAGAGTGCGGAGACCAATATCAAAGCTGGTATAGAAGAATTGTAGCTATAGATTTATACTGTATCAAAGAGAATGGGAGGATTATTTCTTCATCCAAATGTTTTTAAAGTTTATAGGGCGAACACTTCACTGTGAAAATAATGGCATTAACCGTGTTGAATTGGAAATGGCAGTGAGATTTTGTTGTTTGTTTTCCAGAACTTGGTGAATTTGATATGCGACATCAAATCCATGGAGGAGGCTGTGATTGAGATGAAATACGATGCCAAAAAAGCTCCTCTAGGTCAGTAGATATTACATTTAGGATCCCTGTCCCACTGCAGACAGAACGCTAGAGAATTTTACTGGGGTCTGGGATTCCATCCTGGTCAGGGCCCCATTGTATTTTTACACGCGGAGGATCACTGTTGTTGCCTCTATTTGTCTATTTTATCATTATTTTTTGTTTGTGAAAGTTACACAAGGTGTGGGTTTCTTTTCAGAAAGGACTTACCAAAGCTATGATCATGCTGGAAAAGATTTCCTATGCATAGTTACAGTTTTTTAGTAGTGGTACAGGAAAGCTTAAAATATATCATTCAAGAACATTGGGAATAAATTCCATTTATGTGTTGATAAATGAATTACATATTATGACAATATAATAGTATACTAAAATATACTTACAGTAATTTCGTTCAGTGACTGAGATTCTAAAAAAAAAATACTGTCGTTATAGCATGTTATTTCTTTAAAGATTTTGAAGGATAAAGTTTAAGTTTTGTAAGTTTTCTTACTTTAAGATAATGAAGTTTGCCTGTGTATTGCGCTAGAATTTTAGTTCCTAGAGTTTTTGGAAGGTTTTGGGTTTTGCAGTTGTCAAAATAGGACGTTTTAATGAAACTGTCTTAATGGAAATGGAGCTAAATGGTACTGTTAGTTTGCATTAGATCTGCGCTATTATAACAAAGAAAATACACCAAACACACCCCAAGTTCTAATGTATACATTGCACACAAACAGATACATACTTAAATGACTTTAAAGCTATTAATTGTTCATGAACCCTAATAATCCGATTAAAACCAATAACTATCAGTTACATAAACTCATCAGTACATAACCATGGCGGTTATGTACTGATGAGTTTATGTAACTGTTAGTAATTGGTTTTATTCAGATTATTAGGTTTCATGAACAATTAATAGTTGTAGACTTTCGTTTCTCCCACAACCACTATAGGTTTCCTCACTACTGATTTATTGGATAAACCTTTTAGGATCGAGTTGGTAAACAATTTAGTTACCCAGTAGTGGGTAACACCCTGGACGTGATTTCATTGGTAAATTTATTACTTATGATGTCACATAACATTGCTTTACGATGTCATCTTCCAATGCGACGTCATGATTCACGGCAATTGTTTCCCCCCCATCGGAAGCCCACAAAGTGTATTTTTAAGGAAAACATATGGCTTTCCAGATAAAATATGAACGTTATGGGAGAAAAAGGACCCCAAACTCCTGATGTTAGGTTATCATGTTTATCTAACTAGTTATTTTTCAAATTGTAGAAGACACTCGGTTATTCGAAAATTAACTAGCTTGAGTATGATAAACACGATAACCATCCATCACTCGCTGGGGAACCTCTATCTATTTAATAGTTTTATAGAAGTAGAAAATTCACTGTTAGCCTGTGTCATAAACCTAGTACTTATAAATAATATTGTTGATGTGTTATATTTACTTAGCCTGTGTTGTAGTGTTATGTATTTGCGCAGTTAATAACAATGAGAAACCATTTGATTGGGGTGGTGATGGGTAGAGACAGGTTATTTGAAATATCCAATTTTGTATTTGACAGAAATCAACTTTTTAATACTCAAAGTTCACAGATGTTAGTTTTGGTATTTTCCATCTTTTACAGGTAAACTAACATCAGAACAAGTGAAGGCAGGATATGCTGCCCTGAAAGTTATTGATACATGCATCACCAGCGGGGACTTCGGTACAAAGCTCAACCGGGCGTGTGACGACTTCTATACCAGAATCCCTCACGATTTCGGGTTAGCTTTAACATTCTCATTTCGACACCAGCCGTTTTTATGTCCCTGTCATGTAATTGGGACAAATAGCGTTACCAATCTCTGTATGTTTGTCTGTACAAAACACACAGTCAAAATTTGATGTTAGTGATAAATTTGTGAAATCAACGCAATAACAAACATTGCAGAACAATACTTTATATATATATTATAGTTATCAGTTCCATTAGGTTGAAATATATAAATTCATTACATTTGTAGTTAATTGGTATCATCTGTCTGATAAATTACAGATATGTTTACTTTCAGGATGCGACCACCAGCGATAATCCGGACTAAAGAGGTAGTGGAACTAAAGATGCAGCTTCTGGAGGTAATTTTGTTTGACATTGGATGTATAGTTGTAATGTTCAGTGTAACACTGCATGTTGTACCATCAAGAATACTTTATTAAGTGAAAATAGATCGGTGACCTGAGATTTCATGTACCTGCCTGCAAGGAGAATGTTGCTCTAAAGATGGTCACAGAAAATACTGTGTTGATCATTTTATTATTAACTACCCAGGTATACTGACTTATGCTTCATACATGTAACTAAAATATTACAGATTATTTTGTAGTACCCCAATCCAGTTCAGATAACGGATAACACTGTTATTATAGCCAGCTTTTTATTTGGGGACACATCCAAGGTTCAATGATTGAAATTTTGGATAAAAATATGTGAAATTATGGATAATTCAAATTCAGATGATTTTCTAGGGAGGAACAATTTCCTTTATCGCACCTCGGACAAAAAGGTCCAAAAACCATTGGTTTAGAGCTGTCACCTGGTGACCCTCTAATTTTCTATAGAGGGTCAGTAGGATTCCATTATAGGGCAATATGGCCGCCCATTGCTCACCGCTTCAAAACTAAAATCTCACAATTAACAAATGAGAAAATGTTAACGATCTGTGTGATATCTTGTTCCAAGTACAAAAAAACTGTTACATGTTATGTTTTTGTTATATAAGTTATTTTATTTTCATTTATCAAAGTTGATTAAATTTGCTAAATATTAATATTGTTTTGTTATGCATTACCTCATTTTCATTTTAAGCAAAAAGGTTCAGTAAGATTTATTGGGGGCGAGGGCGCCTGCATGTGTGTCCATTTGAACTGCATGACACTCCATGTAGTTCACATAACTAGTTAGTATTTAAGAAATTGTTTATTATTAAGAAATTTGCATAATGCTGTAGTTAAAATCTGTCAGAAGGTTTTATCAAGTGCTAGTTTTAATAAGTGGAATCTGCTACTGTAGGCTCTCGGAGACATTGAGATAGCTATAAAGACTCTGAAGATGGGAGACAGATCGGAGAACCCAGTAGATAGACACTATCATTCACTGAAGTGTAAAATGGAACCAATGGATCACAAAGCAGACGACTTCAAGGTAAGTTACTATCTAGGTCTCGGTCTGTGTGAACATCTGGGGTTTAAGTTTGGCCAGAGTTGTTAATGGGGGTCTGACCATCCTCGATACTCCAGGAGTAATGCTCAGGCTGCTCTATACACCCCTGGAATATGTCGTAGCAAAATTGAAGTCACATTGCTTGCTTTTTTATTGGTCTCTGGTGAAAAGAAACTACACCTTGCAGAGCATTTTTGAGAAGGAAAAAAAGATGAAATATACATAGAGAAAAAATCTGGGTTCAAAGAGTAAAAATACCACAAGCCGAGACAATGATTCCAACCCTGGACCACCAACAGAATATAGTCGCTCTAACCAACTGAGCAACCTGGGTCAGTGGTAGTACAATGGCTCTGTACCACTACTGTTATGACTTAACCCTTTCATCCCTAGGTAACTTAGTAAACTCTACCCTACATTTGTCTTTTTGGTCTACAGTGGTGAAAGGGTTAAGAAGATAAAGGGGAGGTAACTACATATGAAAAACTACAGTGGAATTCTTCAGTTTTCTATCTGCAGTGGGACAGGGATCCTTAACTTGAAGAAGTTGTATGTTCAGTGATAGCAACTATAGTATATAGTATATATGTGTTGTGTTTTAGATGATAACAGATTACCTACACAACACTCACGCAGTTACACATAACCAGTTCAAGTACCAGGTACTAGACATTTTTGAGATGGAAAAAGAAGGAGAGACTGCTGCCTTCAAAGATTATGGAAATAGGTATGATGCCACATATAATTTCATTTAGTAAATAAAAGAAATGAATGTAGGACAACCCTAAAATCTAGACAATTAGCCATGGAGCATCATTGGCCAAAGGGTTCTGCTTTTTGTATAAACGGAGGGTTTGCCCCACCCACCCACACACCTGGGGGCAGAGGGGCGGGCCAAATAGAGGGAAAATAGGTAAATCTTCAAAAAGCTTCTCCTTCTCAACCAATAGAAGGATTTTGACCAAATTTATTATAGAGCATCTTTGGACAAAGGGGCCCCCTAAAGTTTGTATATACGGAGGGTGTGCCTTCCCCCTGGGGGCAGATGGGCGGGCCCAATAGGAGAAATAGAGGAAAACATTAAAGATCCTTCTCCTTTTGTACCGATAAAGAGAGTTTAACCAAACTTGTTCTAGAGCATCATCTTTGGGCAAAGGGAATTCAATGTCTATAAATGGAGGATGTGCCCCCCCCCCCCCCCCCCCCCCCCCGGTGGCAGAGGAGCTGGCCCCAATCCAATAGGGGAAGGTCACCCTAAGCAGCAGAACTTAAGTTATCTTTGATAAATTTGTCACATCCTTGTTTTCTCTGGTGTACAGGATGCTACTATGGCACGGATCGCGTCTAACAAACTGGGTCGGAATCCTTAGTCAAGGACTACGGATAGCTCCGCCGGAGGCTCCAGTCACAGGTTACATGGCAAGTACTCTTCTGTTAATCAAACCACAACCTTAAGCATGATTAAGTCATTACAGTAGTAGATTTCCATATTGAAAATATCTTGGATAGAACAGATTATTGTAGTATTTGAGACAAAAAAAAAATATGAAGCATATGGAGTAAATAGATTCTGTAGAATTCTTATGTTGATGCAGTCATTGATTGTTAATGTCTGCTGGATAACTGAAATACTTGGTAGTGAATTCAAAGTGAACATAAAATTACTGAAACGAACAAGCAACAGAAAGATCCATGTTTTACAAATCGATCATAGAATACTGATATGGACAATAAAACATACCCATGTTGAAAATATCTTTAAAATATTTCAATGTGGCTAAATAATCTGTCAAGGATATTAACACTAAACTCATAAAATGGAATGCTATTCCAATGTTGAATTTGATCTGAAAGATCATTTAGACAGATTATCATTGAGACAGGTTATCATTGAGACAGATTATCATTTAGACAGATTATCATTGAGACAGATTATCATTTAGACAGATTATCATTTAGACCAATAATCATTGAGACAGATTATCATTTAGACAGATTATGTTTTAGTTGACTTTTCACAATCTGATTATAAGGGGGCATTCTTTGTTAGTTGACATTGAAAGTCTGGTAATTAGATAGCATAATTTTTCATCTGACCTTGACAGACTTGTTATGGGGGGGGAGCGTACACTGTCCTTTGTCAGCTGACCTTGACAGACTGGTTATGGGGGGCGTACACTGTCCTTTGTCAGCTGACCTTGACAGACTTGCTATGGGGGGCGTACACTGTCCTTTGGTAGCTGACTTGACAGACTTGCTATGGGGGGCGTACACTGTCCTTTGTCAGCTGACCTTGACAGACTGGTTATGGGGGGCGTACACAGTCCTTTGTCAGCTGACCTTGACAGACTTGTTATGGGGGGCGTTTACTGTCCTTTGTCAGCTGACCTTTACAGTCTTGCTATGGGGGGCGTACACTGTCCTTTGTCAGCTGACCTTTACAGTCTTGTAATTACATGTATGTAGCATACTGTGTTATCTGAACTTCACGTTCTTGTAAGGGGCATGCCTAGTTAGGTGACATTTATAAGTTAGGGGGAATACCACGTTATAATTTGTTCACCTAATTAACATTCAATAATTAGGGGGCATGCATTGTTGGTAATTAGGGGCTGATTTGCTAGCTGACCTTGGTATTTAGTAATAAGGGGGTTTGCTTTGTTTGCTGACTTTGACTCACAATATTTAGATAGATTTGCTTGTGAAGAGAGTGTTGACATAAAGTGTGTTATATACTGTGTTGGCTGACCTTCCTTTCTTTTTCTACAGTTTGGTAAGGGAGTGTACTTCGCCGACATGTCTAGTAAAAGTGCGAATTACTGCTTCGCCACAAAGACAAAGAACACGGCACTCCTCCTTCTATGCGAGGTAATGTTTAAAACATATTAAACATCTGTATTTTAAAAAGTATTCCGTCTTTGCGTATTGCAGAGTTATATTCTCTTGGGAGCAGGTATTTATTGTTACGTCACTTGTTTGTGAGAGTAACGTCATCAATTTTTGAGAAAACGAAGTAATTTTCTCACACAAACCCCAATGACGTAACAATCAATACCTGCTCCCAAGAGAAGATAACTCTGCAATACGCAAAGACAAAATAGTAAGATGCGATGGATTAAATGATAATTTCCTGAAATAATGAAATGATCATTACTTTATTTCCAAAACCGATCATTTTTTATATTTACACCAGATTCAAAATAAAATTTATGTTTCATATTACAGAATAAAAAAAATATACTACTTCTCTGAATAGAAAGTGGCATGATCAAAAGTGCTTTTCTGGTATTTTGGGAATTATTTGTTGTTTTTGTTGATTCCATAATCAAGACCAATACATATTTATTTGGAATGAATGTTCATCACTACCTTTATATTGCTCATTGACTTTTACCATATTTCGCCAGGTATATGCCCAACCTCCAATTTTCCTTCTTTTCAATGCATTTACCCATGGTCTTATCCCAAGTGAAATATAACACATTGTAACTGATTAACCTGGACATATTGCACAGTGACATATAGAAAGTAACGTGGTAAAAAGAAAATCTATCTAATTATAATGAAAATTACCTTATTTCCAGGTCTCTCTTGGACAGACAAATGATTTGCTCAATGCTGACTATAATGCTGCCAAGCTGCCACCAGGCAAACACAGCACAAGGGGCCTCGGCAGGATAGGACCAGATCCAGCCTCCACCAAAACTCTGTAAGTCTCTTCTCACTCGTCTGGGAATTTGAGGTCAAGGTCAATTATGATACAAAAGGTGATATTGCAGTGAACTGAGGTCTAGGTCATAGATGATATTATGGTAAGCAATGGGCAAGGTCAAACTGAATGGTGCTGCAAAACAAGGTCAAGGTCAAATATGATGGTGCTGTAAACCAAGGTCAAGGTGAAGATGATGGTGCTGCAAACTTAATTAAAGATCAGTGGTGAAATTGACACAATGTCTGTTAAAATATTCATTATATGAAAATTTTAGCACCAGGTACTATACACATCCTATTCTTGCAAGCATAAATTGTTTCCTAGATGTGCTGGATGAAACTCACATTTAATTTTAATCCGCTTCGAGGATGATACAGCGAAAAATATCAAAAGTTGTACTTTAAGTACTATTTAGCAGGCAGACTGCTAAATTCTATTAGCCCAAGCTATATATGTTCATAGTAAATCTTGAAAGTTTCACTAGCCCTGCCCTGACATAGGATCTACCAGCCCTGGTCATAGGGCTTGTTGAATTGTACACCCTGGCAAAATCTCAACCAAGAAGTATATGCGAGATTCCTAATGGCTATAGTGAAAGGCTGTGCCATATTGTCACGACATTCAACATTCTTCCTCAAACATTGGGGATATTTCTCACCCTCATACTCGGAATGAGTAATTTTCAGTCTAGCAACTTCATATCTTATTATTTCGATTCCTATTCAAGTTGGACTCAATGCAACTACCAAATGTTTCATTTAAGACATGAACTGCTTTGTTTCAAGACCAACTCAATTCATCACCCCACGAAATTGACCAAAGCAAGATTCAATCCTTATATTTCAATCAACGTGTTTTTTCAATGATTGGAACTTGTGAAGTCCATTCTGATCATTTGTCCCATGTTCTGGAGCTTGTGCAAGTCTACGTGTTGACGTAATGTAAAAAATATAGTCAGTCATTGAAGGACCGTCATACAACATGATGGTGTACATTGGTAGTTCAATACAGCCAAATTACGTAGAAACAAATCACGAAACCATATTTATAAATGTCATATTTAGTTTTTATTGATGAAATCATAAGATATCTAATTTTCTGTTGCGTCATCGCAGAAGAATAATGTCTAGACGTGGTGCACAGGCTCAGCTGCAAGTCTACAGCAGCCATCTTTTTACTAACTTAAAGTGGAGAGCCGCTATATTTCGAGGTTCTACATCTTCTGGAACGTGAAGCTGCTGTAATTGAATGTCGAATTAGACAGGAAACCACGGTGGCTTGAACGGACGAAACATTTGATATGACATTTGTCGGTTCGACTGTATTTAATTTAAGACGGGACCACATGGATCTACCACAGGGGTTCGTTACAAATGTCTGAAATACACATGCTATACTGATATTGATCAAAGCACACATAAACATACATTATACCCATATCAGTTATAGCATGATATATGTGTAATCTTGGTTTAAAGCACACATGTCAATAGTTATCTCCCTTCGCAAAATCATACGCTCAGGCACTGTTAATCTGGTCAAATTCATCGGCAAATGAAACAGGCTACATTTGGTAGTTGCGTTGAGTCCAACTTAAGTAGGAATTGAAATATTTGCCGATGAATTTGACCAGATTAACATTGCCTGTGCATATGATTTTGCAAAGGAAGATAACTATTGATTAGTTTCAACAAAGATACCACTAGATGAGATTTCACATTTTTATTGAAGCTACAAAAGAAATTGTTTAAACAACCAAAAACGATCATTCAGCAAATTATTATTAACTCATGGTTGCTAGCTAGCGGTAATAACAAGCCATGAACCGCCCTAGAAATTCTCCCTCCAGCTACCCATTCTGCCTTGTGTCAGTATCAACCCCTGGTACAAATCGAAAACAAAGCCCTACCCCAAGCATAGATCCACAGGGGTTTGTTACAAATGTCTGAAATACCCATATGCTGTACTGATATGGGTCACATCACACATACATTTATACTTATGTGTGCTGTGACCCATATCAGTATAGTATATGTGTATTAATGTATGTTTATATGTGTGCTGTGACCCATATCAGTATAGCATCTGTGTATTTCAAACATTTGTAACGAACCCCTGTGGTAGATCCATCTGGTCCCGTCGTATATGAAAGACAGTCAAACAGATAAATGTCATATCAAATTGTTTCGTCCTTTCAAGCCACGTCTGGTTTCCTGTCTAATTTGACATTCAATTACAGCAGCTTCACATTCCAGAAGATGTAGAACCTCGACATTTAGCGACTCTCAACTTAAATTTGAGCTAGTAAAAAGATGGCTGCCGTAGACTTGCAGCTGAGCCTGCGCACCACGTCTAGACATTATTCTTCTGCGATGACGCATCAGAAAATTTGATATATCTCACGAATTCATCAACTCAAACTTAATAAGACATTAAAGTATGGTTTTCTGTTTTATTTCTACATAATATGGCTATATTGAACTATCAATGTTTACCATCATGTTGTATGACGGTCCTTCAATGACAGACTATATTTATTTAACATTACATCAATATGTAGACTTGCACAAGCCCCAGAACCTGGGACAAACGATCAGAATGGATTTCACAAATTCCAATAATTAAAAAAAAAAAAACCTGATTGAAATTTAAGGATTGAATCTTGCTTTGATCGATTTCATGGGGTGATGAATTGAGTTGGTCTTGAAACAAATTCATCATGATCGCAGTTCATGATGAATTTGTTTCAAGACCAACTCAATTCATCACCCCACCCCATGAAATCGACCAAAGCAAGATTCAATCCTAAAATGAGTTTTGGTCAAAGTTATTAAAATGTTCAAGTATGAGAATACCTTAAATGATTTCATATTTCAGGGTTACATTGTCATGGTCACTGTTACTATTTATGGAAATTTCTTAAACGATGACACTAAGTTTGCATTGGAATGGGGGCTTTCCTATTTTACAGACTTTTTCTAATTCAAATGGGGTGAAAACTGAAAATTGTTTTTTAACTTTTTAAACAATTGACATTGTTGAGATTTACTCATGTCTGTCTTTATGTTTCAGAACCGACGGCACACTTGTCCCGCTTGGTAAAAGTAAAGACACTGGAGTGAAAAATCCCAAAGGATACACATTGAACTACAACGAATTCATTGTGTACGACACAAAACAAATCCGAATGAAATATCTGGTCAAAGTGAAGTTAAATTTCAAATGACACTTTCAAGTAGTTATATTGAACATTTTCTGATAATGTTAATGGTACAATTGACGTACTGATTGTACAATTTCATGGAGGTCAACTAATAAAATGTCTCATCAACTTTAAATTTTAAGTTCACAGTGGAGTCTGTTTAAGAGACTGTTCCTAAGTCTAAGTTTAAGATGTACAGTGGAGTCTGTCTGAGAGACTGTTCCTAAGTTTAAACTTCGTATATACAGTGGAGTCAAATCAAGAGACCGCTCCTAAATCTGAATTTAAAGTTTACAGTGGAGTCTGTTCCAGAGACTGCTCCCAAGTTTTAATTTAAAGTTAACAGTGGAGTCTTTTCAAGAGACCACTCCTAAGTTTAAACTTAAAGTGAACTGTGGGATCAAGAGACCACTCTTGTTGAGCAATCTTCTCTTAAGAGACCCACCCTGCAAAGAGACCACTTTTGAGCCGATTAGACTAGTTAAAAGAAAATCATCAGATACAAAATGGAAGTCGTGAAACACTGGAAGATATCACAGATTGAAGTCATACTTTCTGTAATGGCTTTGTAATAGCTGAAGTTTTTCTGTACAGATATTTTTCCAATCAGGTTAAAGGTCAAAGGTTAGACTCTGAATGCTGACTTTGAAAAACAAATCCTGTCATGTAAATTGTAAAGACAAAGTCTGTCCCATATCAAATAAGCATTTAGAATCATATCTTAAAGAATGTAATGTTTTGCTAACAATGCAAGGTCTGTCAACTATTTTTCCTTCATTTCTAATCATATGCATTATAGACGCAGAGGTCCACTGTACGACTTGAACTAATGCAAAACTTTGTGCTAGATATTCTTTGTCTGGTACTGAAAATGGTTCCACATGAAAACCATTGTACCATGTAGCCGTCATGGAAAAGTACTTGCTATTGCTAACAGTAGTTCTGCCTGACCAATCAGAGGCTGTTTTACACTAACTGGGCAGCTATATAAATATTTATATAAGTCGAGTGTCTACCGTGATACCTGTGTTGACTGAATTTTTACTTCCACATTAACAACTTTTTTCTTCAACAAAAGACGTTATTGTGAAGTCTTAAGATGGGGTATATGTCAACCAATAAACATTATTTACATATTTTAAAGTTGATGGGGACCATTGTCATGTATTTCTTTGACTTAACATTAGTTTCAATCTTACTTTGAAACTTTGATTAAGGCCTAACTATTGTCCAATGTAGTTGTGGATGTTTATTCATCAATTAGATTCCATGTTTTGATAGATGTGTTGCCCTTTTTGTACTAGAAGCAATAAAAATCCTCTTTGGATAGCTCCCTTTCCATAAATTTCATTGATCCCCCCCTTCCCTTAAGAAATTGAGGGAAGGCGGTGAGGGGTTCCTCTGTCCATCTGTCTGTAGCGCTTGTCTGGATGATGACTTGAGAACAAATTATCAGGTACAAAGTTCAAATTTTGTGTGTGGGCTGCCCTAGTGGATTAAAAGAAACCTATTGATTTTGGGCGTAGTCCAATAAAACTCATGTCATCATTGCAGTCTGCGACGTTAGGTACTAGTCTGATGCCCACGACTAGTAAATTTAAGTCTGGACTAGTATTGAAAATATTTAACTAGTCCGACTGGCAATTTTCTTCCAAAATAATGGAAATATTATTAATGGTATATATTTTGCACTATAAAGCTTGTCACAAGTTCTAATCCTATCGTAAAATACGGTATGCGTCGAAGCTTCGAAGTTTCGATGAGCGATCGCGAGACTGGGTTCTGGATTTTACTAGTTACCGAACATTACTTCCGGTTTATAACCACGTGAAACCAACCATGGCGATGTTGCTAAGTTGGAGAAAAGGTTCAAAACCAGCTAAGCCTGTCCGTGAACAGACAGAAAAAATTGCTCCAACACGAAAGAAAAATTTACGGTTCTGGCGTGTGCTTAAAGGCTCGATGGAAACAACTGTAATACTGTATTAGAGATAATTGGCGATCACGTTCCGTGCTCTGTTCCTTTAGTTAATTATTGAGAGACATTTTGTTTTGATTTCTAATAATTTTCCAATTTAGATCACAATTTACACTGCATGCTGTAAAAAAGACCAGTCTGTAATTTGGACTAGCAAATTCACAGTTGGACTATTAAAATTATGGGTTCACTAGTCCAAATGACTAGTAAGGAAAATAGTTTACGTCACAGACTGCCATTGCTGAAAGTAGAATCTTAATTACCTGAACGATTACTTCAAACTAATTGTCATACAAAGTTCAAACTTGGTGTATTGGTAGCCGTAGCCGTATATACTCCACTGGTCTCTGGTGTAACTTGGAAATGGATGATTGTTAAAAATCTGCTTTTCATAGAAAAGGTAGCACATCCACATATAAGCATTGTGAAACAGATTTGTTCGCAAGTTTCGTGCCCTTCTCGAATGCAAATCTATGATAGGTTGGAGCAAATCCTAGCTGGTGGGATTAATAATCACCATCATGTCAATCAAGTAAACTGGTCTGTTGTTATTTTATCCAGGACACATTCATTTGAATATGCTGGTGGCTCAAGTTTTGTCAGAAGCTCAACTGTATAGTAAATCATGGAAATTGTGTAAGAATTTTTTTCCAGAAAGAGAGGTTGTACATGTACTTCAATGTTTATAAGCATTTGCTTGTACACAGCAGCAATCAAATCATTTCAGTATTTAGCTTGTCATAAAGGAACATAACATTATAGAGAATGGCTGATATGCATAATACAAACCTTTAGACTATGCCATATTGCTGTATATTTGTCCTGTGTTATTTCTATACAAATCATCTCAACTTTTCAGGAAAAAATAATTTTGAAAATTTGTATACCAACATTTGCTGAAGTTTCTGCACATTACACTGGAGAAGACATAACTTTTGATTTCCACAGGAAGGCAGTATTTGACCTTAGCTGTATGGACATGTACACACTTTGTCGATTTTTGGTACTCAAAAAGTCTTCTACCTAAGACAATTTTGAATATTCTCATATCTCTAAAGATGGCAGTGTTTGACATATAAAAGGCTATCTCTAGACTTTTGGTTTCTCCACTTCAGACATTTTTGAATTTCCCCCTAATCTTTGGAGCGTGCCAACTTAGCCTTGATGATATATGCTGTTAATAATTTTAAGACCCTCTCTGGAATTCAGGGTATTCCTTAGTAGACACTGCAGTGTACTGTGAACCACTTGATATTTGAGAATACAGATTCCAGTTATTATGCTGCCCACTTGTTTGTGAGAATTTTATTCTACGAAAACAGAATATGAAATTTTCGAATTTAGACCTGGTAAGATATTTGCAATGTAGAAATTTTCACATTAATACTTTTTTGAAATTTTGACGTTGGTTATCAGGCTATACATACTGCTGTAATGAACATTCAATAGTGTTTAAGTGTGCACCTGTTTGCATATACATTGTACAAGTAGGGATATACATAATCATGTTCATATATCTTGTTTCAGCTTACCTGAGTATCTTATTATGAGGTATTTAAACTCAGGAGAGATGCTTTTCATGTGATAATTTGTACCTCATGAAAACATTCGAGTGATTCATTGTAAATCAAGATTTGTTCGTTTGAATGTAAAGTATGTTTTGTAGTACAAATTTTAATTGTTAAAACTAAAAAGTCATATTTGTTCATGTCTGAAATTTTCATTAGAATTGTTTTGTTAATAAAAGAATACTTCTTTTATATAGTAGAAAGTAGTTCAGCTGTTTTTTATTTGTTACTTTCCTTTTGGCAGAATTCATGAATTTATCAAATTATCTTCCATAGACAAGGATGTTAAAGAATTTAATACTTTTATACAGATAATGACTACAAAGTTAAACTTTTTCCCGTAGACAAATGAGGGCTAAATAGCTTTAAAAAACATGGTTGAAAAACTTCAGTCAGGAATTTCCCATTGTGAAGAATCTGTAGCCTTTGACCATGACTTTGACCTTCAACTGGTCTCGAGGTTTGTGCAGGGATTTCAAATCAAATCAAATAGACACACACATCTCAGGATATTTTAACACAATTTTATTATTTAAAAGGTACATGTACTTTTCTACACATATAGTATTAAAGTGATTGTTTATAATAGGTGGGAACCGCTCTCGGACAAGATGTGCCAACATTGACCACTGTCCTTTGATACAATTTTTTGTTCATTCCTGTTTAATGTAAAAAATATATATAACTTAGGTGGTATAGAAGCTAAAAGGGCAAAAATATTCCAAAATCTGGTTTTGATGGCAATTCAACTTAATTCAACTGACCCTGGTTACATATTCCTTAGCTTCAGTTAACTCATTCACCCCCTTAGTCACATGAGAAACTTACCAAATCTATTACTGGAAAAGTCCAGTTAAGTTTAGATATGTATGGGGTGGATGAGCTAAGGTACATGTGTACCTTGAAGCAAAATTATAAATAAGATGAAGAGAAAAAATCTTTGCTCTAAAATTTCCTGAAACAAAACCCTGATATCACAGATATATAATTATACTAAATGTATTTTGATGAAAAAAATGGAAAAAGCAGCAAGAAATAGTAAAATGGGGTACATGTGATGTCAAATAATGTCAAAAATTATAGTGATATCAAAAATATTCTTTATGGGAAAGAAATATATGGCATCTGACATAAATATTAAACATTGATTGAACTTAAAAACATAACAGTTAATTATCTCTACCAAGTACAGAATGCGTACATTGATCATTCACCACTGTAAAGCATAATGGACTAATCCAGATCAATGATGGAAGAGACTACTAGAGTAACATTGGGAGGAAGGGTTATATGGGTTTTAATTAAAGTCAGCACCCAAGTAGATTGAAAGTTTTGAAATTTAGCTGAATGATTGGTACCTACTTGATTGTGTTCACAGTGACTAAAGCATTGTCTGTCAAATACATCTCTTATATGTAGATGAATTCATCTGACTCAGCAGGTGACTGTTGGTGTCTTCCACAAGGATGCTATAGAATGTGTAAAAGTTACATTGCAGCTTCCTTGATAAGTATTCATTTAACTCATTCACCCCTGAAGACACATTTGAACTCTTCCAATTCAAAAGTTTGAATAGTTCATAATGAACTTTCTGGGGTGAATGAGTTAAGAGTTAATCCATTATATGTATCAGTGTTTTTAAAAATCAAATCTCTTCTTGACTTAGTTTTTTTTTTAAATCCTCAATCTATGGAGAATGAATCTGCTATCTGAGTGGAATGTTTTATTTTGTAACTTATTTTCCTGAATTGTTGGTTTTTATATAAAAATTAGTATTTGTTTACATTTTCACTGTTTAAAAAATGAGATTCAAACATAGTGAATACAGTATACATGATCTATGATTAAAAGACTCACAACAAGTGTGATAAAATATAAACTATAGTGTATAATGCTATCTTTCTCCTGAATGTAATCACAACAAAGAAATATAATATATATATATATACATGTGCATATAAAAATCTGGAATTAATTCATATGTTCTATCTGCTAAAATGCTTGTTCCCCCCCCCCCCCACATCATTATCTCATTTACCCCTGAAATTTCATAATGAACTATTTCAAACTTTGAATTGGAAGAGTTCAAATGTATCTTCAGGGGTAAATGAGTTATTTAAAAAAAAAATGTACAGTTGTAATGCTTAATTATTCTGATAAGGGTCCCGTTATGTCTCGCTCAACAACATATCACAATGTAATATGTTTAAAAAGAATAATAGCGTTTCATCGTCTTAAACAGAGTCAAGTCTTTAGGTATGACTTAGTCTCCATGCAGACGGAGTTAAATGCTCAAATGGTAGCTCCCAATCACTGACCAGATGCGAGGTAAACAGCTAGAATTGTCCACTGGTGCAGAGTTCCTGGTATGGAGACGGAATTTAGTGCTTGGAGTTCAGTTTACAGTCTTAAGACACAACTCAGTTTACAGATGGAGTTCAGTCCTTTGACAGATTTCACTTAGAGTCATCAGACAGTGTACACTCCTAAAACTGAAATCATGGTCATCAGAGTTCACTGTCTTCCGACGAAGTTCACTCCTCAGACTGAGATCATGGTCCTTCGAGTTCACTGTCTTCCGACGAAGTTCACTCCTCAGACTGAGATCATGGTCATCAGAGTTCACTGTCTTCCGACGAAGTTCACTCCTCAGACTGAGATCATGGTCATCAGAGTTCACTGTCTTCCGACGAAGTTCACTCCTCAGACTGAGATCATGGTCATCAGAGTTCACTGTCTTCCGACGAAGTTCACTCCTCAGACTGAGATCATGGTCATCAGAGTTCACTGTCTTCCGACGAAGTTCACTCCTCAGACTGAGATCATGGTCATCAGAGTTCACTGTCTTCCGACGAAGTTCACTCCTCAAACTGAGATCATGGTCCCCCGAGTTCAGTCTTCAGATGAAGTTCACTCCTCCGACTGAGATCATGGTCATCAGAGTTCACTGTCTTCCGACGAAGTTCCCTCCTCAGACTGAGATCATGGTTATCAGAGTTCACTGTCTTCCGACGAAGTTCACTCCTCAGACTGAGATCATGGTCATCAGAGTTCACAGTCTTCAGATGGAGTTCACTCCTCAGACTGAGATCATGGTCCCCCAAGTTCACAGTTTTCAGATGAAGTTCACTCTTCAGACTGAGATCATGGTAATCAGAGTTCAGTCTTCAGATGGAGTTCACTCCTCAGACTGAGATCATGGTACTCATATATATATATAGTTCACTCCACAGACTGAGGTCATGGTCCTTTGAATTCACAGTCTTCAGATGAAGTTCACTCCTTAGACTGATAGTCTGAAGACAGAGTTCACGCATGCTCAAACTGAGGTAACAGTCTCACACATTTCAAGCACTGTCAATTGATCTTTTGAATAATCACTGAAGTAATCACTAGTGGAGTCGCCTCGCTCACCCGGACTCAGTAGATGATAATGGCTATATCCACTGTCCCCGTGGATTTCATGAGAGTTGTGATTGGATTTTAATGAGGTTTCAAAATTTTCGGGACTTTCCTGGTCCTGGATTTCTTCAAATTGATTGTACAGATCCTTCTTACATGGTGATTGAGCTACTAAGTCAAGACTATTGCTACGGGAACGTGTAAATATAGAAGGCACAAATGTTTTGATTGACAGTTTCGTAGGTGTGGACAGTTTGTTGCCTTGGCTACCAGCACTAAGGCGTTTGACGTCCTGAGACGTCTGTGACAGTCTATTTAGCAGGGTTGGTAACACTGAATGGGATTTTGTGATTGTACTTTGACAGGAAGCGTTGACCAGTTCCATGGATTCCATGTCTTCTATAACAACACTGGTAGTGGGAGCGTCTAGACATGGTTGAATGAAAGAGGGATCTTTCGCCAATTTGTCAAAAATGTCCTCAATATCTGGACGGTCATTTGCTTCATAGGACAAACAGGAATGTATGAAGTCACACCTGAAATAGGACAAACAGGAATGTATAAAGTCACGCCTGAAATAGTTTCAGTAATAACACATTCATAAGTGTAATGATACAATATTTTAGATGTCTTAAGTTTTGTTTGAGTTATATTAATATTGTCCATAAAAAGACTTTTTATTATCATTACTTGGCAATTTTAAAATTTTCCCAAAAAATTTGAATCACCTGTGGTTCAATTGTGACTGTCATCAACTTAAAAAGCCAAATTAATATTCATGAATCATTATTTTTGTAGCTGATATAGTAAGACAGCCTACATATAAAGATTATTGTAGCTGATATAGTAAGACAGCCTACATATGAAGATTATTGTAGCTGATATAGTAAGACAGCCTACATATGAAGGTTATCGTAGCTGATATAGTAAGACAGCCTACATATAAAGATTATTGTAGCTGATATAGTAAGACAGCCTACATATGAAGATTATTGTAGCTGATATAGTATGACAGCCTACATATAAAGATTATTGCTCTTTTTAGAAGATTCGCCAGTGTTACAGATTTTTCACGATTTAAAAACTTGTGATTTTTTTCCAAAATTTTTGTTTATGTCATTCTGGTAAATTAATAGCCGTTCGCTACCAACTTGGAAGAATTTCTCTCTAGCTAATTCAGTAGAGCATAAGACTAGTAAACCAGGTATATACCCTCTTTGCGTATTGCAGAGTTATCTGCTCTTGTGAGCAGGTATTGATTGTTACAACATTTGTTTGTGAGAGTAAGGTCATCAATTTTTGAGATAACGACGTAATTTTCTCACACAAACCAATGACGTAACAATCAATACCTGCTCACAAGAGAAGATAACTCTGCAATACGCAAAGACGGAATAGGTTGGCCACTAGCACAGGCATTTTAAAAATACTGACCTCTTTTACATTAAAAAAAATACGTTTTTGTTCACTTTTAATTTGTGTTATTTTGAATCCCCAGTCAAACGTCTGATTGCAATTCTTAATTTGAAATAGAGTTATAACATTTTACAGTTACTCAGCTTTCAATTAATCTTTGAGATTTATGGTTCAAATTGGCTGCAGCAACCATTATAAGCTCTTTGTCTATTATTTATATCTATAACTAATGACTACTACCATATAATTACAGTATACATTTGTATGTATATATGTCAAAAAACCGCAATAGTTTAATTATCATATACAATATAAAGTAGGTAAGTTTATGACCAATTAAGTTCTATTGCTGATGACAAACATACTAAACAAACATAAGCTACATTTCCTAGATTTAAGTTTCAATTAATCAAGACATAGATTTTTTTTTGTAAACTTTTTAAAAATATACCATATTAAAAGCGATCAGTTGGCATGTTTACTTGAAATAATTTTAAAATAGATGGAGATTGGAATTTCTTTTGCAAAACTGAAGTTAATTGCAGCATAGTCATTTTACTTACAAGTCTTCAGGACAGTTGCCAGGTAGAATGAGTCTGTTTCCCTTTTTAACAAACTCCAGTACTTGGGTGTTTGACAGACCTTGGTATGGGAAACTCCCAAACGTCACAACCTCAAACACCAAGATCCCAAAACTCCAGATATCCGACTTTGAGGTAAACATCCCGTCCCACAAACTTTCTGGGGACATCCATCGAACAGGTAACATTCCTAGAAATCAAAATGGTAGAATTTTGAAAATTTGAATTTGATGTCCGTGGCCCTCCCTGTGGTGACAGGGAGTAAGAACCTGGGTTGTGGTGTTCGAGGGCAAACACATTTAAAAAGGTGGGAGTAGTGTGGCAGGTTTTAATTGTGGTAGAGCGTCCGACTAGGAATTAACCTGGAGATCGAGGGTTCGATCCCCGGTGGAAGCACACTATTCTCTTTTCTGTTACAAACTTTTGCAATTTGAAAACTTCCTAAGATGCTGTCGGTATTTGTACTAACTATGATTACTAAACATTTGCAAACTCGAAATCAAAATTATATGCCCCCTTGTATACCAGTGATCATAAAAAAAATTGAAGAAAATGCTATTGCAGTTTTTAATTTGAATTTTAATACCAAGTTCAGTATTTGAAATTTATTTAAAGGACTAGTATATTTATGCCAAATAAGAATTTATTGTATTTTTTATGTTTTTCAATTGTAATGCTGTAAAAGTTGTTTCCCATGCAGGGTTTTTGAATTTTCATGGTAAAAAAAAATCCGCGAAACTACTGTGTTCCTTTGGCACTATAAGCTATGGCCACTCGATATAAAATCCATGAAATTGACCGTTACTTACAGACCCATGAAAAATAGGTTAGTGCAAAAATATTAACGGGTACATCTTGACATAAGATGTGTATCCTTATTATAAATATGATATTACACCATGTACTGACTTTAAAATTTCAACAAATCTATCATAAAAAATGCATCTTTGTACTTTGGAGTTCAGTATACACTACCTTTTTTGGTGAATCTGTAATAATCCGACTCTATAAGTGTTCTTGTCATCCCAAAATCTCCAATTTTCACAGTCTGATTGGCATGGACAAGACAGTTCCTGCAGGCCAAATCCCTGTAAGAAAACTTGCTATCATAATGGTGAATGGTCATACAATACCTGTGTACATATCTGAGGTAATGTGTTACTTGTATATATGATGTTCCATATTATCTGTCTGAGGTCATATTACCTGCGTAAATATTTGAGGTCATGTGTTCCAATGTACCTGTATATTTGATGTTCCATATTACCTGTGTGTGGTCATACATTACATGTGTACATATCTGATGTTCCATAGTATCTGTCTGAGGTCATATATATTACCTGTGTAAATATTTGAGGTCAGGTGTTCCCATGTACCTGTATATCTGCTGTTCCATATTACCTTTGTGACGTCATACAATACCTGTGTACATATTTGAAGCTATGTGTTACTTGTATATCTGATGTTCCATATTTTCTGTCTGAGGTCATAAATTACCTGTGTAAATATTTGAGGTCATGTGTTACCTGTATGAGGTCATATATTACCTGTGTACATATCTCAGGTCATTTGTTACCTGTATATTTGATGTTTCATAGTGTTGGAGGTCATATATTACCTGTGTACATATATCAGGTCATGTGTTACCTGTATATTTGATGTTTCATAATACCTGTTGGATGTCATATATTACCTGTGTACATATCTCAGGTCATGTGTTACCTGTATATTTGATGTTTCACAATACCTGTTGGAGGTCATATATTACCTGTGTACATATCTCAGGTCATGTATGTACTTGAGACCACTGGTTACATCCAGCACCATTTGTGTGAGACGTTCTGGACTGATGTCTTCTGCCTCGCGTGTTGCCTGACCGACTAGACTCCTTCGGGATAGCAGATAGGTCTTCAGGTCACCTGGCCACATTTATATTCTATATTTAGTTATGTGAAAATCAGCAGTAATCAGAGGAAAAGGTACAATGTTAAGAGATTGGTTAGGCATACATTAATTGTATTATTCAAGATTAATTACAATCACATGGTTTTGAGTAGTCGCTGCACTTCAATTTACAATTCTTGAAACCCCTTATAATGCAACCTACCTCCTCCCTCTCCCCGAGTTATGGTCTGCTGGATAACTGAATTTGAACTGTCATCTGGAAGATAACTAATACCCCCCGCAGATGCTGGTAGATTATACATTGGTAATTAGTGACCTTGACCTTGGGGTCAACTGACTGAAATGGGATCTCATTAAAAAATGTTGGCACTTTCCATATAGGCAAAGTTCCATCAATAAACATACAAAGTTAAAGTCGGTAGAGCTATGACAAGCAAATGTTAACAGATAGTTAAGACAGAGATTTCGCATAAAGGGCTGTAACTCCCTTAAAAAGTATTGAAATCTGAAATTGAAATGCCTGTGCAAAACTAAATATTACACTGATCATTCGAGTGAAGTCTCAATAAAATCTGCCTGTTAGTTAAGATGGAGTTTTCTGGAAAATTGATTTTGCATTAAGGGCCGTAATTCCCTTAAAAAGTATTGAAATCTGAAATTGAAATGCCCGTGCAAAACTACATTATACACTGATCATTCAAGTGAAGTTTCAATAGAATCTGCCAGTTAGTTAAGATGGAGTTTTCCGGACAAGTTTCTATGGATGACAGACATCCAGACAGGGTGATTCCAGTATACACCCCCCCCAAACTTCGTTGCGGGGAGGCCAGGAGGGTATAACTACTTGTGAAACGGATGCAAAACCACCCAAACAAACAACCCTTACAAACACCACATGCATAACTTCACACTTTGAATACAACCTACAGGCTACTTACCTGAGGTAATGAGGATATAATGATATGTGGACTCACTACAAGACCCTAGCTGTTCGCAACCCAAGAAACCATTTAATTAGGGAAATGGTACTCAATTACGGGGAGAATTGCCATTACCCGAACTCCAAATCAGTGTTATACTAGTATACATCCTCAGTAAGTAATTACCATGAGGATATAGATACATGTAATGAAATGTATGTTTACCAGTTTTGTGAGGCTTTTGAGTACAATTCCTAAAAGTCTTGCGATGGAGAGTACAGTATATATATATACTAAATTATTGTGAGTAAGCAATATATAACCACATGGCTCCCTACAAACCTCCACTCCCTAACACTTTGAGTACATATCTGAGAAACGTGTGAAGATAAAATATATATACCAGGTACTCAATCATCCTGAGGTCGAGGTTGAGTACACACACTCTGAGATACTTACCATGAAGATGGTACTCCATTATGGCGAGCACTGGCTCGCCCCTGGTACACACTCCTAGTAACTTGACAATGTTGGGATGGGAGAAACGTTTCATTATTTCCGATTCTGTCAGGAAATCAATCTGAAAAGAGAAGAAGTTGCTACTGTCAATCCTGTATTCATCCTCCAAGTTCCAGGGGTTTAGCTTAATTAAGCTGTCTGCATCCCTGGAATATGTCATGATGAAATTAAAGGCACATTATAAACTTAATTTTTCCATATGCCACATATGGACACTTTAATTTTAAACAGTGGAAAGAATAAATTTATCACAATTTTTGTGATTTTGTATGCATGTGTGGCAGATTTTAATTGTACATATAGGATTATGGTCGCCTTCTAGCTTCACGCTAGAGGGAATTTCACTTAGGTTCATTAATACTAGCATCTGACCAGAAACCTATAGGGATTGCCTGTTCAATTCCTGGTGGAAGCACACTACTCTCTTTCCTGTTTCACCATCAATATCTGACTTAGAGCAAACTTATCCAAGTTGAAACTACCTTTCCGTTTTTTAAAGTCTCTCATGGCAAGACCTCGCTTTTGGCCACGGTGTTGAGCGTTCGCCTAAGCGAGGGAGGTTGTGGCTGTCCCTTGACGGAGACAAACCAAAGTCTCTAAAATTGGTACTGACTCTTCCCTGCTTGGTGTTCAGCACTAAATGGGTGGCAGTCAGGACAAATACTGGTTGGATCAATGTCAGTATAATGTGACCGATTGTGGTGTCATTGCTACCGTGTCCAGGTTCTGGCGTCTCAGTGTGGTAGCATTTTAAAAGAGCCCATCAGTGGCCCCCACTATTGGTGGACACCTTCCTTATATGACCTTAGCTATTGCTAGGAGGATAAACAAATAAAAACCAAACAGAAGAAATGGAAATATTTAAAGGAATAACAACAGCTGCAATATACCTTTTCTTCCACCCTGGAACCTATTTTCAGTGTCTTTACAGCAACAGGTACCCATCCTTCTTCTTCCTGATATGTCTCACCTCCAAACACTGTACCAAATGCACCCTCACCCAACTTCCTGTTTAGGACAACATTGTCACGTCGGACCTCCCACTCATCCAGCGACAAACAGGAGAAATCCTGGGACAGAAGACCTAACTCCTTCATACGATAGTGGGTGCTCCTCATCTTCTTGTCAAACCTGGTAGAGTTTGTGTATTCACATACAAGGGTATAACGCAATAACATAGCTGAACTTGGAATAATACACATGTAATCATCATAATAAATGTATGCATACTCAATAGCTGTGTTGTAATGTGAGAAACATTTGTGTTACAACATAAAAATATATGTTTTAGTGATGGGCAACCCGTTAAAAATCATAACTGATTTATCAGATTTTAAAAAGAAGTCAGTACCGATGGTTAACCGATTGATGATTGATTGCATATTCAACGGTTTATAATGTTATGGGACTGAATACCCAAATAAAGTGTGTATACCCAAATAAAGTGTGAATACCCTAATAAAGTGTGAATACCCAAATAAAGTGTGAATATCCTAATAAAGTGTGAATACCCAAATAAAGTTTGAATACCCAAATAAAGTGAGAACACTACTGTTGTATCAATATAGACATCTTACAAAATGTTATAAAAAGTATTTTCCAGTTTCCATTGCTGACCTTATGCTCACTTGTCCTATTTCCTACAGGTGTATAGAATCATTGTAAACATACTAAATTTCTAGGAGTTCAATGTGTTGTGATACATTGCAATAATTGCTAAAATATTGCCATATGAAAATTGCTTGCAATACCAAACTCTAATAGACAGAGTTGTAAACTCTATGTTAGGTATCGTTCTTTTATATAATGAATTGATTACAAGCAACTTGCATGTAGTTTTGTCAATCACATTGTAAAAATCATAAGAATAAATGACAGTAAATGTGCTACTGTTTACAATTTACCTGAATTTGATGACGACCAGTACAAACACAACCAAGATGACAAACACCCCAAAGCCGATGACATTAGCAATGACGATGGACATCTCACAACTCACACTGAACATCTCACGGAAGTCTTCAATCACGCATTGTTTCTCTTCTGCACACACAAAATCATCAAGATCACCTTTAGGATGATATTGGATACTAAATTTCCATTAAATCATTTGAGGCCATATATATATGATTTGTATTCACGTCATGTTCATTTTTCTTATAGCCACATTATGCCATTTACTTACACTTAATATATTTCTTTGAAAACAAGAGTTACTTATAATACACTTTAACCCTTTCACCACTTTGGACCATAATGGACTTAATATCCAGATCAATGCATGGTAGAGTTTATTAAAGTTAAATAGGGCTGAAAGGGTTAATAACATTTTTAATTGGTTATGCACCATTATTTATTTGGTTATGCACCATTATTTAATTGGTTATGCACCATTATTTTGCTAAGTGTTAATTTGTAGATTTCAAAGTTTTCAGCATATAAATATACTTTAATTAACTCTAATTATAAACAAACAAAATTGATATAAGGAATAACATATTCCTTTAAAAATTATTTTCCTCTCTAATCTTAAGATTTCATTTCAGAATATTTTGTATTGTAATGGTCTAAATGCATACATATGTACAAAAGTAACTGGGCAACAGGCAAAGCCTATAAAATACGAAGATCATTTTCATACATACAACAGTTAACAAATTTTAGCGGATTAGGTGCTGAAATGGCAGTATCAATCTATCACAAAAATTAAAACCACCATGAAAATTACCTGTTATACAGAGTAATACACACATCATCATACATTACTACATTTCTTCATACACATTTTTTTAACATACTAAATTTATCCTTGAGACACAAGTATACATGCAATTTTATATCAAAACTATTTGTGGTGGTTTGATTTTGACCTGATCTAGCCAAAACACTTAATTAGAGTTAAAAATCTTAATCTCATAAAAATAAACAAACAATAAAATTGGACCTTACAGATGTCTATCCTTAGAACTGGTTTAGCTTAACAGCTGTTGAATTTAATGTGACAGAGGCATCTTTAAGTTAAACTTGAATTTTAGCAAAACCAACATTTTCAAGAATGAAGCGAGTTGGTGATACATTTACCTGGTTGACCGTCACTAGGTGTCTGGCCCCCGGGGGTCAGCCATTTGATGTGTGACTGGTACAAGTCCAGTGTCCCTGCCCCGACAGGAATCCCAGGGGTGTACTTGCCAACTACCCTCGTAATATTGTGGAAGAACTGCATAATTTGGATTTGACCTGGCCTGTCCCCGCCTTCAAACCGCACCCTCCCTGACACACCCGGGAAGTTTGTCTCGTTGAAGTACTGCACCAGGGTACTGAAAAAGAAGCTTGTCTGTCAGGCTACAACAATTAGAGACTTTAAAATGAGTTTTCACGGGAGTGATTTTTAATTTTTTAATTTAATTGTTATTTGATATGGACAATAGGTAAGTAATTGCCTACGTCTATCATGTATCCTATTTGTTATCTACTTATTATTATACCTCATCTATATAACAGCATGTCTCAATGAAATATATTTATCACATTGGCAGAGAAATGAACAAGAGCTGTAGGAGAACAGCATAGCTCGTCTATTAAAATTATTTTTGTAAAAAGTGTTAATAGTAATTGGGCCATTACAGGCTGTCCCATCTTAGATAATAGATCAGAAAACAAGAACTACATTGTCGATGGCACACTCCTGCTTTCCCTCAAAAGTAACCCCTATTACACCCCCACACACACCCTTTTACCATATGCAAAAATAAATTACTGTAAATGTACAACTCATGGTTATGTTTGATTTGATATGCTAAAAGATTTGAAGGGGGGGGGTTCAAGGAAATAATTTGTACAATGTGAAATCCCCTTCCTGCCAAATTTGGTTGAAATCTGCCCAGGAGTTTCAAAAGAACTAGAACTTGCCCTAAAACTTTAACCTGTAGAACTTGCCCAAAACTTTAACCAATTCCAAAAGACTTGTGTTTTGGACCAATAATGAGCAAATATGGTCCAATTTGTTGCTAAGGAACCTCCAAGCAATTGCTGTGACCATATTACAATGTAAAATTAATTAAAAGTTGAGTTAAATGTTAAAAAGCATTACAGTCAATCCTCCTCATATAACCTTTCGTGCTAAAACAACACTTTTATTGTTCCTCATTGCAGTGATTTCTTTGTTAACTGATCCTGAATTTAGAGTCCAATTAACTGTGTTAGGAAACCACATTTTAACCTCCTATGGGTGGTCTCTTAGCACAGGTGTGAATAGTAGAAATGTTTTGATGTAATAGGGTGGACATACTCTGCTGTAGATTTTTGATGAAGTAGCTCGAGAGCTCCTGGTTGTGAACTGAGAAGCTTGCTGAGTCCGAGGGCGTACACCCACACAGCATCATACACGTAGTTCGCATAAGGACTTGGTTTCACTTTCTACAAAGTAACAACCTCAGTAATCAAAGATAAAAAAAATCAAGGTCAATCTATATATATTTTACAAAATAATTCAAGGTCATGCACTTTCAGTTAAGTACTTTGAAGAAATATATACTGATTTCTAACATTTCCCTTTTTGTAGAAAAAGATCATTTTGGAACAGAATGAAATTAAAATGGTTAAAATCCTGAAGTATTAAATATAAATATAATTTGTAAGCTGACTTTGAAATCTATTGCAAGTGATCTTGAAATAAACTGAATAAATCATTTTTTTGATGAAGGAAACGTCAATTTTTAACCTTAATTGTAAGGCTAGGCAATTTGGTTTAAGAATAAAGTTTGGGTTAGTATTATCACAGATCACGTAAAACAGTCCGCAATGTTTCAGTTCATGATCATTAAGGTTATTTAAAAGTCAACGTTAACAAGGTTTCATTTCATAGCAAAGTAATCTTTTTCAAGGTCGTTTTACTGGTACAGTATATGTATATTAAATCAAATATAGTATGTGTGTTACTATCTAAACAAATTATTTCAAGGTCAATTTAAAAAGATTTTTGACAATGTCAAGTTTCACTGTTTAATAGCAATTAAAATCTAAAGGAATTATTTCACAATTTACAATTTCACTGTCCAATAGTATTTGAAATTTTAAAAATATAACAAGACATTAATTTAAGTAAACACTTCGGAAAACTCACTGCTTTCCCAACTCTTTCTGCATATTGCTTCTTAAACGTTCCTACAGTGAAGTTTCCCATGATGACTGTTTGATCCGAGTCTGCAAACGTCTTGGACAGTATGAAATGACCGTCAATAGCATAAAGCATTTGTTGGGTTGTACAAGGAATGTCATTTGCCCCATGGTAGACCTGCCACCAGCCGAAAGAGTACCAAAGAGACGGCAGGAACCAAACGTAACCCTCATGAGCTGTCATCCTCTGAAACATAATAACCAAGTGAGCAATATTCTCTTCTTTTACTCTAGCCTAATCAGTCCTTATGATAATCATACTGTGGAAGTCCAAAATATCTATAATCATACATACATAATGTTCAGTTTTATAAAAGAATTTTTGAAGCCAACAGTGTGAATTTCGCAAAAACATAATTTTAACTCACTTTTCATATCAGTTTTGAAATCATTGAAAAATGTTGTATTTCAGTAACTTATCTCATTTTTAGCAATACATGTAATTAACTTTTTTTTTAAATATAAGACAAAAATACAATCAATTGATTTTTCATCATAATGATTTTTCTTATAATTGATTTCAATTTAAAAAATTCAGTTTTCTATATGACTACTGTGAGAATTTTAAATTTTAACTTTTTTGACCAATGTAACAAACACGTGTTTATGTACCATAAAAAGTATGCACTGTAATCATTATGGGAGAGAAGGAATTAAAGATATGTATATGCCACCTTACCAGGAAATGGGTTCCCTTTTCAAAAGAGTTCACACTATGAAATCTGTGTATATTATACTAATGGTTTGTAAAAATGCAGGTTCAACAACTGACACCATAATTAATTTGAAGGATACAAAAAAAATCATCCATTAACAGTTCTCCTATTGTTATTACAGAAAATACCAAAAATAGATAAAGGGAGATAACCCTAATACTGATAAAAAGGACGTATAACACACAAATTATTTGGAAATAAGATACAAACCTGTCTGTATGCTTCACACATGATCGCACGTGCGGCTCCCACATAGAAATCAGCAACAATTATTTTCACATTTCTTGCTCGGAGATCAGCAAAAATCTTAAATCAAAACAAACTGCAGACTTAATTAATCTTCATAAAATCAAAAGGTAAGTTTGCTAAATTGATAATGACAGTTAAATACGAAACAAATTTTAGTTTGAAATCATTAAAAGGTAATCAGTTCAAGCACATGTACAAGGCTTTACCTGTGTGACGTCATAGCTTCGATCATGTGTCTGGACGATGTCATGCCGGATAACGACCTTGACCCCTGACTTCTGTAGGTAGTCCTGAAGTAGGAGGTGATACTCGGGCAGTTCTTGGCCTGCTTCAGCCAGTGCACCCACCTGGCGCCATTTTAATTTGCTGAAAAACTGCTCGTACACATACCTGAATACAAAGATTCAAATTATAGTTCTTAAATACTGAGATACATGTAGTTAAGTTTCGTAGATTTGTCATATTTGTTTGGACTACATGTGAAAACTGCCTTAAAGATCATTGGTCTATAACATTATCTGTCTTAATATTTATCACCAATTCATTATTATCACCTGTCTATAAATATAATCTGCCTGTAATTATAACTTGAATACAAATATAACCTGTCCATTCATATCTGTTCATAAATAAGACCTGTTTATAGATATCACCTGTCTATCAAGATCACCTACCTGTGAATATACCCTGTCTATAAAAATCACCTGCCTGTAGATATAACCTGTCTATAAAGATCATCTGCCTGTAAATATACCCTGTCTAAAAATATAACTTGTCTATAAAGATCATCATGCACCTGCCTGTAAATACCAGCTTAAGAATACCGTGAATGGTTTTTCTATCACTTGGCCTCTCTGTTTATAAATAAGACCTGTTTATAGATATCACTTGTCTATCAGGATCTTCTGCCTGTTAATATAACCTGTCTATAAAGATCAGCTGCCTGTAAATATAACTTGTCTATAAAGATCACCTGCCTGTAAATATCCTGTCTAAAAATATAATCTGTCTAAAACGATTACCTGACTGTAAATACCAGCTTTAGAATACACTGAATGGTTTTTCTATCCCTTGGCCCCTATTTGATCTTTATATACACAGATTTTATAAAGACCTCCGATCTAACAAAAGACTATAAGACTCTTTTTTATATGTACAGGAGGTGGATAGAGAATTCCTCCCTTGGGGATCATAATTGGGGTAAAACCCTTGGCTTTTTTGACGAGGGTTTTAACCCAATTATGATCCTCCAGGGAGGAATTCTCTATCCACCTACCGTTACATATAAAACAGCATTTTTCTCTCATATCTACCATTAAAAAACAAATACTTCACCTCCCAATGCCCACGACGGTTGCCATCTTCCATTTTTTTAATACTTTCTCCATGGTTTAAAAACAAAAATAGCAGTAGAAATGAAATCCCAATACCCTCAAACCGCAACGTCATTCCATGCAAAATCAACACTTTTCCATGTTAACTCCATGGTTTAGTTGTTATTCAACTTTCTATTTTCCATACAACATTTTCTAAGTGCCATCTTAAGTTGAAAATAGAAAACAGATATGTTTTTGTTGTCAAATATTTAATTCATGTAATTAATTAGTATAAATGAAAATATAGATTCAGTTAATAAATACAGAGTCGGGCAAATTTTACATTGTAGCAGACGACGTAAGTTGTTGACATTGGGAGTTGCTCCTCTTAGTTTTTGTATTACTACGTGATGTGATTAGCCTATGTAATATAGACTCATCAAGCATGGTTATCTTACATGGCCAGTGTGATCTTACAGCATCAGGGTTATCTTACATGGACAGCGTTTTCTTACTGATTATGAGAGGAAGTTTATTTTCTCCCTTGGGCAGTATTTCCTCTTGTACACATGCAGGTTTTATTAACATAGCCCGACTATTAAGACCTGAAGTGGGTTCTCTCCCTTTGATGGCCTTCAGTGAGACAGGTTCTACAAGACCACCTATCTCTGTATTAGAGGTATGTAGATAACTCACTACAGATATTACCGTACTTAGATGTTAATTAAGAAGGGAAAGACGACAGACTGATGAGTGAAGAATAAGTGTAAGTGTATAAAGGTTCAAAAATTACTTGTGCACGCTGATTTGGGGAATAGTCCGGTAGAAGTAGGGGTAGGTTACTCTGTCAGAAAGTGATGAAGCCTCTGCACTGTAGCTTACAGTGAACATATAGAAATGTTTAGACAAGGACGCAATGGATTCTGCTTCATCAGAGCATGCAGGACCTGTAAAAAATAAACATACTGAAGTTTCCTGAACCTGCCAAAAAACATACTTTTGATGAACCAAATTACAAATTGTATATAACCAATTGTGCTTGTCCACACTAAACAAGCGATTCGGATTAATATATGTCTCGCCTATTTCCCGCTTTGACCATCAATGCACATATCAGAGAAACTAACTTAAACGCAAAAATTTGATGTTGATGGAGATGCTGACAAAGTCAATGGACCATGAAAGGAAGGCGGCATCCATCATTTGATGCATGGATGGAGATGTACTACCTAAGATGCATGCATGGTTCAAGTTTGGTTTGTCTTGCACTTGGTGGCGGCGAGACAAAAAACGATTACTTTGCCAAATACATCACCATCCACTATACTCCAGGGGTTACCAATCGCTAGACTGATATATACCTGTCCTTTGAAGATTACAATGTTCGACTTCAAAACCAGTCAATATTCACCCTTACACAACCATGAGATTGTTTTGATGTACATCAAAGGAGCCAGTGAGCCAAACCCCTGGAGTATCAAGGATGCTTCGTCACTAAGTGGGGGTATAAATGTTTCAATTTATGAAGGCTTAGATTTACCCAAGACTCCTGCTATAGCGAGATTTGTTGAGTTGTGAATATACTTGATGTATTCTCTCATGGCCACGTCTGCTTTGCACTGTGAGTCAACAATGATGAGCTCAAGGTCATGATTTGGTAGAACTCCAGCATCTTTGTTCACTCTATTGATGGCTAGCTGAGCACCTGTTCAAAAATAATTAATATATTTATTCTAATAAGTACCCATGACAATATTTATACAAATGTATTTTTTAAACAAGTCCTTTAATAAGGCATACTACTCATGTACTTGCTGATAGAATAATTTACAAGCAAAAAGAAATATGGATTTTAAAGAAAAACTGTAATCAGGTCAGACTTCAAACTACCTCAGTATGAGTTCTACCACTTTTGGTCTGTTGCCATTACCAGACGTATATTTTATGTCATCTCATTTTAAGAAGCAACATAATGTAATTGCTTTCAATGAAAGATCACAATTATGGCAGAAGTGTAGCTTGTCCATTATATTCCCAGGGTGTGGATACAGAAATTTCTCGTAACCAAAATGACAATAAAATCTTGGAATTATGAAAATTTCTTTTTTACACAACCAATAAGAGTATCTATGTGACGTTTAGATGACTAGTACTGTATGTACACTGTCACCTTCATCAGACAAATGACCAGTGAAGCGTATGCTCACATGACTTGAATTTTACCTCTACAACTAGAAGTATCAGTATCAGTCTGCAATAGGATTAAATTCTCCCATATCAATACACTGTTAACTGTATTTAACAATAAGCCCATGCCTGTTAATAAGCCCACCCTTATCTGGTATATCACTTCAGTTGAAATTCTGACATACCCAGTATGCTTTTTGTTCTGTAATGTTAAATATATCCTCTAGTTTGAGTAAGGTGTTTTTGGATGGCCCCCTGGGCTTTTTGCAGGATAAATACTGTACATGTACTTATTTGTACAGCTAGATTGACTATTAGATTCATCTAATGTTCAAGATAATATTGTGGTTATCTGGTATGACAAATCTAAAGTTCTATATCAAAAAGACAAAATTTTACCTTGCACTAATCCCGGTTGCGTCCATTGCACTCCAGTTATAGGAAAAAATCCAAGTAAATAAATTTTCCGTTTCATTGATAAAGTTTTCGGTATCCATGACATCCATTTATGTTTATTATGACTTAACCAATCACAGGCGACACTTGACACTGATTTTGAAATACTGTAATTCTTAAGGAGAGATTCAAACTCCAGTTGTTCAAACTTAAATTTTGATATTACATAGTAGGCCTCAGGGGCGTTCGTCTTAATTTTTGACCACATAAATTTTGTAAATTGATTTGTTTCATAATCACAGCCAGAAGGGAAGTTTGTTGGAAGTGTTCTGCATGTAGGGAACCTAATGCGAGTAAAGTCAGTCCCCAGGGCGATGATATCCGGATGAAGGCCAAATAGAAGGACTGGACGTTGCTGTTCCACCTGGTCACTGATGTATTGCCAGTAGTGGTCACCTAGCCAGGCGATATTAACAAGAAGGTCAAGTTTCTCCACCTGTCCAATCAAGACATTTTTGTTCCAATCTACAAAAACAAAATAGGTATTGTTAGTAAGTATTTTTCCATCCTTTTGGAAATTGTTTATTTCAACTGATGTGCATTAACAAAAAAATGAACAATTTTTTTTTTTTAACAAATTTTGAAATGATATATTTATTTGGGTCATGAAGCAACAGGTTGAACAAGTAATATGAAAGTCCTGTGTTTTATTTTAATTTCTTTTCTTCAAATTATCCTTTAAAAGCTACATTTTTAAGGAATTTCACTTAAAATAACAGGTGTGAAACCTCCAAAACTCAACCCCCTTATCCCCCCCCATGGCCACCGCTGTGAACATGGCCTGCTTTCTGGTCTTGTGGTGTACCTATATGAAACTCTTGATAAATATCTAAAAGAGGTTTCCTTTTTCTAACAAATTTTCATTTCTGTCACATTTTCTTATTATATCTTATGAATACATTGCTTATATTTTCAATTATTTTTGTTTTAGTCACTGTTTCTCTGAAACCATTATACAAGTAATGGTGAAGAAAACCAGGTGAAGAAAGGGTGAAGAATTATGTTTATTTCAAAATGCTGAGAAAAGTGGAGATTTTTTCTGATGTTGAATACCAATCAACATTGAGAGAACTTTTTTTCCTTATGTATTTTGTGAAAAAATATAGATTTTCAGTTAAAATGTTGATGTTTGTGGCCCAAGTAGAATTCATTGTACCTGGATAGGAAGCCAGGAGAACGGCACAGGTGGACTGGTCAGTTTGCGGACACCTTGGGCCATAGTAGATACCCTGGACACAGCCATGAAAGTCGCACAGGTAGCCACCATTAGACTTCTTGGTCAAGTTTCGCAGGACAAGCAATTGGTCAGACATGGAGAAGATTTTGGTCACATCCTCTATCAAGAGTGACCGCCAGTGGCCAGCGATCTGTCTGGTCTCCCAAAGCTTGTTGACAGTGTAGTCAGCTATGTACCAGCCAGGCCTGAAGGTGGAAATAAATGTATGTACTTGCACATGAAACACAATTATTTACTCAATCTTGGACACAAATTCCTGGGACTTTTTTTCCAGTAATTTTCCAAAACTGGTTGATAAATGTCAATACATATCTTAACCCTTTCACCCCTATGTAACTTGAGTAGACTCAACCATGCATTGATCTGGATGAGCCCATTCATTATGGTCTACAGTGGTGAAAGGGTTAATCAACAAAATTAAATTACAGATAACAGTTGAAGAAAAAGCACACAGAATATCACAATCTTTGCTAACATTATGCCATGGTTGTGGTATTATAGTGTTTGTGAGTGCACATTAACTATAAGATCTCCTTCATGGATATCTCCACGAATAATAACTTTTGAACCGCTTTGAGACCACCTACGGACTAGGTTGTGATAAAGCGGTATATAAGAACCTCAAATTATTATATTTATTATTATAGCAAGTCATGAGTGGAATTCATTTTGATACCGGTGAAGGAGAAAACATATCACTATGTTTGGTACACTACAAAATTCATGTTTAGAGTATATACCCGGCATGTAACAGGAGAGGAAAAATGCATATACCCGGTACATGCCAAGATGGGATTCAAACCCATGACCTCCCTGAGACTCTAGATGAATGCTCTAACCAATTGAGTTATCCATTCTACTATATTTGTGGCATTGGGGTTAGGCAAATATTTACAAAAAAATCTGCATAATTATATATACCTTGACTTTGACTTCAAATGTATATCAAGGTGAAACTTACTGTAGCATTTTATATTTTCACTTATAATGTCTTTATATCTTTTTGCTAATTTCATGTCGACTAAACCAAAACAAGAAAGGTATACATGTTGCAAGTAATTAATGCAAAATTTTCCACACAATGGATTTTTGATTTAACAAAACATCAAATATTTCCAAATTTAAAGATTGATGTCCAGTTATCAATGAGCAGAAGTATGAATAACATGTTAAAAGGTTTGGGATTATATCATTTAGGTTTAAAAAATCATCCTCATTAGACCTACAGCTAACTTATAATATTGTTGCTGGAGCAGGATAATGCACGGCGAGACCGGGGTTCGAACCGGGGACCTTCAAACTCTAGACGGACGCTCCACCAATTGAGCTACCTGGTCGCCAATGATTGACCAAGTCCAGTTCCACTACAATTTTACCTTCCCAGAGGTCCAAGAGCTCCAACACTGACCACCGTACCAGCCTGACTCCATTGGTCTGTAAGAAATCCCGCCACTACAGGTACCTCAATGTTGATCATCGTACGTGGTACGACAGACTTCAACTTAGTGGTACATCTGTAACAAAATTATATTTTCTTCTGAAATGTGTTCCATTTAATCAAGAGTTTTGTGGATAGTGAATGAAATAAATAAGAATTTAATATTCAACGTATGTGTGTATAATTATGGTGGAATATTTAACAAGGGTGAGAAAATGTTTGAAAAATAATTAACAAAGGCTGCTTGCAGTCTGAGTTGGTTATTTTTCCAACATTTTTTCAAATCCCGAGTAATATAGTGCATCTTATTTATTAAACAAACATATGTTGATTGTATTTATTCTACCTAGTAAGATGTAACAAAAATCGTTTTTGTGTCTACCTCAGTGTCTATACTCCTACAATAAGCAAGATGACCTAGATAATCTAATTACCTTAATTAGGCTGTTCTTTTGCGCATGCTAACATTTTAATTGTCACGTGATGTCGATTATAATGCCTCCATTCCACAACAAGCTGCATGTTTTTATTATTTCTGACCCTGTGGGCAGTTGCCCTAATTTGTGAATGATTTTTCATTTTCACAGACGATAAGCAAAAAACACTGACGTCATGCGTTATGCCAGATATTTATTTCAATCAATCAAGTCCACCAATCTATTGACTTTGCTCGTCAACACATGGAATCAGCATTTCAAGTCACCTTCGCAACTAAAGAATTAATTTGAAGAAGCATGAGATGATGACAGTGAATTAACTGTTAACCCTTTCACCCCTATGTAACTTAAGAAGACTCTTCCATGCATTGGTATTGGTGAGTCTATTATGGTCTACAGTGGTGAAAGGGTTAAGATGGCGCAATGGGAAGGAGTTGAGTAACACTATAGGGCCCTCACTGCCTCCAACCCCACCACTTCAAATAAAATGGTCAGGGCATAGAAACAGACATTATTTGTACTTCAGTCTTACCCTGTGTTGTAACAGCCGGACATACGATTGAGTATGGCTGTCGTGTTTAGTGTATTGGAGAACACATTCTGTATCTGTACCCGTTGATACCCTACCACCTCTGTCAGCAGTGCCTTGAGCATGTGGTTTGTGATGTTCTGTGACACACTGTGACTACTCTCCAGCATTATGGTGAGGCTCTTACCGTTGTAATACATTTCCCGTCGGTTTATGATTCCTGTTATATAAATTTTTAGTCATATTTTTACGTTCAATAAATTAATTAAAACAAAATTTTCAAAAATCCTTTCTGAAAATCTGCTGGGATCAATTTTCTTGGTATGATTTCAGAAAAAGACATTATCTTCAATGAGTTGGAAAGAACTGACAGTTAAAATTCCAGAACTTCTATTACTAATATAATTATAAATTAAAAGTCATCATTCTATTATGACAGTTCATGATCATATTCCAGCACTACGACCAACCAACACTTAAGAAAATCCCCTACAAAACATTATACGTCCTTACCCAACAACTGACGGTCAGTTTTTGGTTTAAAATGAACTTTTCTTATTCTCCACTTGTTTCATTCAAAATTTCTTTGATAACCCACAAAAAAGCTTATCTTTCACCATGTCTGTATAATCCATTTAGAACTTTGGCTTTGACCCTTATGCTTCTCCAATTTCCACTGCAATTCACTTACCTTGGTTTTTTAAACAATGTGAGGGCTCCATGGCCAATAGTATTGGTAGCCATGACAACAGTAGAATCACATGGACTCCAAATCCTGGAGTTGCCATGGTTACTATTGCGGTATTGAACATTTAGTTCTATCAGTAGCCATAATGTCTGGGTGTTGTAAAGCCACATGCCCAAGTCTGATTTTCATCATTTAAACATGCCAGGAAAACTCAAGTCATGATGCAAGAACCTGTAAAAAAAACCAAATATATAACATCTTAAGATCATGCAGTTATACTCACTCTGTAGGAAAGAACACATCTGGAGTCTTCTTGGGGTCGTAGCACTTCTTGTGAAAGAATTGCTGTCTTCGTCAATATTTCCTAGGTCCCTATCTGGGCATCAATAGTTTACTGTATTCCAGTTTTATTACCTGTTTTTTTTTATTTTCTATGATATTTTCCATTGTTAGCCACTTCCTACAGACTTAGCTAGGGAGATTTTTCTCTTAAGCTCATTTGGTAGAGTAAGACTAGTAAACCAGAAGTCCCAGGTTTGAACCCTAGTTGGGGCATTGAAAAATTAATGACCTCTGATATACTAGTGCCCATGTAGGGATCGACCCAGGAAACATTGACAAAAATAATCAACGAAACTTTTACAAAAAGTGCTATATGACCCCTGGAAGACTCAGAAAGTGTTCTTTCCTGCAACAGTAGTATCACCTTGGTAAAATACAAGCCACTTCCTACCAAACAAGGGAGAATTTCTCTTTAGCTCATTCGGCAGAGATAAAGACTAGTAAACCAGAGGTCCTGGGTTTGACCCCTATAGCATATAGGCATTAAAAAAATAATGACCTCTGTTACACTTAATTAAAATCACAAAATATTTTTCATTACTTACTGAAATATAACAAGTATGTATTAAAAACTCAACACACCAATAATACACAGAAACTGTTATTGTTAAAATACTGCATGCATGTGCAATATTGATGTAAGTTCTCATTTTTTTTCTTGGATATCTTGTCACACGATGATATAAAGCATCACCATACAAGATTTCAATTTTCTCATTATTAATCGCAAAATCAGCAGACAATTATCACGAAGCCAATATTCAAGAACATCGGTAGACTGGTTTTGGTTTTAGTATTGTCTAACGTCCTATTAACAGCTAAGGTCATATAAGGACGGCCTCCCTGTGTGCAAGATGCATGCGTGAAGTGTATGTGTGTGTATTTTGGGAGGCTGCGATATGTTTGTGTTTGTCTCCTTTTGATAGCGCGGAACTGATGCCGACTTTATAGTGCTACCTCACTGAAACATACTGCCGAAGACACCTAGTAGGACGCCCCACCTGGTCACATTATACTGACAACGGGCGAGCCAGTCGTTCCACTCCTTATTTGCTGAGCGTTAAGCAGGAGTTATAACATTTTGAATTATAATTCAATCACAACTTTTTAGTTACCTTTATGATTTTTTTATCTCGAAGCTTTTATAAAAAAATACAAAAAACAAAATCATTGCAAAATTGATCAACCTGCTGAGTGAAACTATTTCCTTTTATTCTCAAATTGTGTTATTGAACAAACAGGTTTTGTTGAATATTCTATTTCGTTTGAATAGATAAAACTTTCTGAAGCTTGTTTCATAAAAACCTTTATTTCTTTGTATTTTGAATCGAGGTTATTATTTTTTCAGTGCCTCAGCTAGGGGTCAAACCAGTCTGGTAATTACCAATCTGATGCTCTTCCAATGAGCTTAAGAGAAATTTTCCCTCCCTAGTCAACTCCGGAGGAAGTCGCTGAATATGTTTACCAGGGTGTCAATTTCACTTAGCAGTCTTGTGTATTGGAAGGGTTATTCGGTGCACTGAACCTTGTACACTAAAACACCAGTTACATTTTAATTAAAAAAAACAAGCATGCATGGAAGCTTAATGTTACTAACCTGGAAAAAACCCACAAATATAGAACTACACAATGAATCTAATGACTGATCCTGTGTCCATCTCTCCACTCTAAAATATATGCCGTTCACAGCGGCTTGTTGGTATCAATTGATATGTATACACAAGTAAACTAATATATTGTTGATATAAAACAACTCGATCGTGTTGCTCACGGTTTGAATTTGATTTAATAACCACTGGATGATCAATTTTGTTTCTTAGAAAACGAAATAAATTTTATAATGGTAATAATCGGGACACCAATATACGTGTTAAAACGAAATATCTACAAGAGCCTGCGAACAAGGCCAAGCCTCATAACGGTGTAAGAATATATAGCCTCCTAATTCAATTTTTATATAATATTTACGTAAACTTTTGTATCACTACACTAAAATTACGCCGATATTTTTCAATATCAATGACCCCCAAAGCCCTCAATGGGGTTACGAAGCATAACAACACCTGAAAACACCCCCCCCCCCCCCCCCCCCTTTCCCCAACAATGCATAAAGCTTTATAACTATACAAATCTATATATAGTATCAATACGAACTTTACAAACTTTTCCAATGTGTGCATAAAATATTCCAGCGGGATTCGGATTATAATAAATCTCAAAGGCGATCAGTTGACAGACACCGAGAGCAATATTAGCCGATCTACTTACCCCGATCACAGCCAGAATTTACATTTCTACTTTCGAGTTGGAGTATTCGGTATTGTCCTAGGTGTCAATGAATACACCTGTGTGTATAGGTATTTAGGTCAAATGACGTCATGCTGTTTTCATTTGCAATGGCGGGGAAATAGGAATTGTGTTGCGATTACAAAATAATGTTGTCTGTTACCGAAATTGGATTTGTATATGTGCAGTTTCAACTAAGGGAAGCACATCTGATACTGAGGGAGTAAATACTAAGTTAAATCTGTACAAATATATATCTAGACTGGCTATACCAGTCACAAAGATATATCTAGACTGGCTACCAGTCACAAAGATATATCTAGACTGGCTACCAGTCCCTAAGATATATCTAGACTGGCTACCAGTCACAAAGATATATCTAGACTGGCTACCAGTCCCTAAGGTTTTTTGAAGAATTTCTCAACTGCATTTTACACCTAGTTTAGAACTAAGGATCAGACATCCTAGTGATCAAACTTACGAGAGTTGAGTTTTTTTTGTAAATAATTAAATATCTATAATATTCAAAAGACGGGGGGGGNACATTTGTACATTACCACGGAGTGTGTTTTCCATCATTTTTCAGTGTTTGGGATTTCTGAGCGAATGAGATCAAAGTTTTAATCATATTATGGTCGGTATAAAGCAAACAGTCGGGATAAAGTTAGCTCCACGTCCAGCGCGAACGATGTGATATATCCTAGCTGATTTTGCCCGCTATATTCCGATGATATTGTTTTAATCCTATTAAAGAGCCCCCTCCCCTCTCAAAATCTGGAAAATGACAACTGTTTATGCAATGTGGATAAAAATCCTTAATTTCATAATATTACGCGTACCCAAGTGGTCGGGATTTTCCGACAGATTTCTTGTTTTAATCTTGAGCCCCTTCCCACCTGTTAAATGGCAGGTGACAATTTTTTATGCATTGTGGAAAAAACCTTTATTTCATAATATTATGCGTACCCACGTGGTAGGGAAGTTTTCACGTCCAATATAGGAATCGAACCTCAACAGTCTTGGTGAAAGGTTTTGTTTAGTATTGTTTAACGTCCTATCAACAGCTATGGTCATTTAAGGACGACCTCCACTGTTCGCAAGATGCATGCATGTAGTGTATGCGTGTGTGTTTTGAGAGGCTGCGATGTGTTCGTGTTTGTCTCCTTGTGATAGCGAGGAACTGATGCCGACTTTATAGTGCTACCTCACTGAAACATACTGCCGAAGACAACCAGCAGGTCACATTATACTGACAACGGGCGAACCAGTCGTCCCTCTCCTAAATTGCTGAGCGTTAAGCATGATTAGAAACTACCATTTTTACAGACTCTGGTATGTCTCTGCCAGGGGACAGGACCCAAAGCCTTCCTCACAGAGGCTAACGCTCAACTAAAGGCTAAAAGTGAGGCATTGTCAAGGGAGACATTAGGATGAAGAAAGTTGTTTAGAAAGAAGAGAAAAGATAATATCCCAAATTTAGTCGCCTCTTACGATCATGCAATGTGGGCAGCAGGTACAATTCTTACGCCCTACCTGCAGGGACCTTAATTGGTGAAAGGCGAATAAGCTGTATATACTACTCCTCGTGACCAAAACGATTACTCTTATTGTATTAAATACCATAAGTCGTCGACATGCCATCATTTTTAAAATTATCATAATTAATCATTACATTCAACTAATATTCCTTCTGTGATTTTAAGAAAATTATTTTTAAAAATATTCCGGCGAGCAAATGTTAATCAGCAAAAGACGTATTTGATTTGATTACTTACTTACAACACATTCATATTCTAAATTATCGTTTTGTACTGCGTTAAATGTTTATGCAACTTTACGATAGTGAATATAAATAAATATACACTGTATTCAACCAGCACGGAACTGTCTACTGCACAAATATATGAATCCAATTTAAAGAGCGGGCACATGTGAAATACATATATATCATATATTCACAAACGAGGACACACTGTACAATACTGATCAAAAAGGATTTATACATGAATGTTATGAATATGGAGTTTAAGCTTTATTTTGTTCGCGTGAAGATATAATTATAATTAGATTGTGATCATTATTGGAATAAATTCAGGAATAAATATTAATGATGGGGTGTTTTTCTGTAAATATGTCCAGAATAACAACTAAACAGAGGCGCTGTAAATTAAACGAAAATGAACTAAATTTGACTTTTAAAAATGAGAAAATACAACAGGTAGAGACTGAAAAAAAATTAGGAGTAAAATTAGATCACCACTTATCGTTTTCAGGACATATAAATTTCATTTTGAAGAGGGTAAGTTGTGGATTAAGAAAGAAAAGAAATGTTTTCTGTGTTGAAATGGATGCCTATCAAATCGTATATTAATTATAGAAAGACTTTAATGACCTTTAAATGTGTACATGGACTTGCTCCTGAGTATTTATGTTCTTGTTTTAAACATGTAAACAGTGTCCACTCTAGAGCTACACGACGGGCTGAACAGAATGTGTTGTACATTCCTAAGCACAGGACATCCTGCTATTCTAGTCACTTTGTTTTATCAAGTTGTAAGACTTGGAATGCACTTCCAAATGATGTAAGGTCATCACCATCTTTTAAAACTTTTAAGCATAGAGCTATAAAGCACTACTGTGATTCATACTTTTAGATAAAGAAAACAGTTTTTAATGTATGCTATATTGGCGTATATCCTGGTAATTTTTATACTTTGCTATATTAGCATATATGTATGTAAGGCTCCGGCCATTAAGCTATTATCAGACCTTCAAGGCATGAGAGTTATGCTTTCTGTGATATTTGATGTATTGTACTATATAATTGCATGTAATATTTTCAGCAATCTCGAGCTCATAACTTATATTTTAGATGTCATTTATGTTTAATTTATATTACTATGTTTTAAGAAATACTATGTAAACACTAACACATTTTACTAACAAAGAGGAGAAATCAGGTTTTTTTAATCCTCAATAAAAAAAGTTTATTATCATTTTATTATTAGTAGTAATGACCTACAAAACATATCAAGATCATCGGTGTTCTTCTCAATGTATATACGTCCATATTGGCATTCAAACATATTAAAGATCAATTAAGTAAAAGCCAATAGATCTAATTGAATTAGCCTAACAAAGAGGTGACAGCTACTTTTGGAAAGGTAGAAAGAAAATCATGACCTCACTTCTTTTTAGCGGTTCCTACTTAATTATGTCACACGTGTAACCGTGACACACTGACAGCGTCACATGGTGGTATACATAAAAGCCTAGGACTGACGTTCGTATTGCTGTAATAGATCACAATTGAATTATCAATTTGGAGCAGGTTTGACCAATCATGACACCAGGCCTGGGCAAGTTTATCCCTTGCAAACGCAGAGACAAACCGCAGCAATCTCGTTCACAGAAAATGCCGACAGTTCCTGATTGAAACGGTAGTGTCCGCGGTCACCTTGTTTCGTATTTTTCTACTTGAATCATAATTAACAAAATGTTATCAAACCATTTTACTGATAATATTTACTTTTAAAACAACGTTTAAGCACATATATAACTAACAAATTATGGTATAACCCCGAGCTTTTCCGAATGGAACTCCAATGTCCCGAAGATCAAGAACTTCCTTTCGCGCGGTAGGTATAAACAGGCGGATATTTGAAAACAAATCTCGCCATTTTTTAGCATCATACTTGAAAGACTCATCATATCAGGATGTTAAGAGTTGCAGTCATTAAATCATGGCACTTAAGACGCATCGGCCATAACAATGAGTTTATCTATGGTACTACAGTAACCAGATATTTTGGAAAAGTGGTGGGATAGTTTAACCAGTTCGGGAAAACTCAGAATTCGGCAACCTTGTCGAATTCTGAGTTTTCCAGAACTGAAACTGTCCTCAGGTCATATTCCTACAGATCGGAGGAAACGACATTGACGAAAATACATCTCCCGGACGTCTGACTGATGATATATTTTGTCGGGATCTCTGTTGGATATCTGGCCTGCGATGTGTTATTGTACATGTAGTGTTTTGGCGACTCGGTACGAGTTTCTGAGGCTAAGTGTGAATGATTGTCTGGCACTTCAATCGTACAATCGTGTTGTTTTATGGAGGCATAACATGCTCGTACCTTCATGTTGTAAGTTTTTTAAATGGTCAATTTTGGTTTCAATTTCAAAATTGTGGATGCTTCATGGCACATGCAGACAACTTTTGTCAAATCAGGTTGATGGATCTGTTGTGTTTAAACAAGTTGTTT